CTACAAGTACGCCCTGACAATCGTCAATGTCGCCAGTCGCTACAAGAAGCCGAACCGGTGATGACGAAAGATTCGAACGAAGTCACCAAAGCCTTAGAACACATATAGAAACACAGTCGCTTGACCTGGCCTGCCGTATTGTAAATCGATTCCGGACGCGAGTTCATGGGAGCCGTGTCACAGCTGCTGCCCAAGCAAAAAGTCCAGGTGAAATGAGGCATGTCCGGAGCTCACCGCAGCCAAGCCATCATCGAGAGATTCAATCACACCTTAGCCGAACGCCTATTCTCACACCAGTACTCACAGGATTAAATCAATCCCGGAAACAGAAATACAGAATACGCTTGCCGCGAGTGGTGGCTGCCATCAACAACGAAGTGACCAGACTCGTGGGCAAGAGACCCGTCGAAGCCATCAAAATGAAATCTGTGGCCGCCCAAGCATCGGCAGCGGCACGTCACGCTAAAACTGAAAAAAAAATACCGGACCGGGTCAGCATTAGGTACTTGTACCAGCCGGGTGAATACGAGGGAGACAGCAGAAAACGTGCCATGAAAACGTACGTCGACCTAGTCAACATCAAATACGGCGAAACGAACTTGTACCACTTGGAAGGTGGGCCGAGTAGACCATGTGTCAAGGAAGAACTACAAATTGTACCTCACGACACAGTGTAGCGAGTCACTTATCGACTTTTAATTTAAGATCCAGCTATCAGAGCCGTGGTGGCTATGCAGTCTGAGTAGGGTATCTAAGTGGGTCAAACGTTCTTGTATGAACGTCTGGCCTACATAACCTCCTGTCACTCTCACATGGCTAGGGTATCCAGGTCGCAAAAGTTTTAGCTGCCACTGCGATTCAAACGCTGGGCCTCAGTATTGTGAACCCAGCTCTTTTACCATCACACTATGAAGGCCACTGATAATGCTTAGCGAATGAGAGCTACTTATCAATTCGAGCTGTACACCTGGTGATAGAGAGAGACGTCGAATGATGGTCCACCATCCTTCCAACCATATTTTTACTCCTGCAAGGGCAAAGGATCGTAAAAAATATGACTTAGAGGGACCTGGTCCAGAACTATCGTTACATAACGTAGCCGACCTGGCAGCAAGACAGCCAGCTCAGCGAGCTGTAGCTGAATAGCCGAGCCGAGAGAGAGCAACATCGCCTGTGAACTGTGACCTGTGAACTGTGACCTGTGAACTTTGCTCTCTCTCTCTCTCAGCTGATACGGGATTCCCAACGGGAGCCGTGGTGGCTCTGTTCGCTAAACTGATGGGACCAGCTTGCTTTCATGCAGCCGCGCAGGTGCGATTTGTGAGTTCGTATCCCATCTGGCCTCTTAAGATTTCCCGAAATGCTAGTAAGGTTATCGAGGCTCGATGTTGGATGCAATCCCACGAGGGAGGAAGCTTTGCGCATCGCAATCTATCTACCTATTTCTTTCTCCCTCGTTGGGGTTGTGACTGCAGCGGACATTTTGCTCAAATTTTGCATGTACCTCCGTAGTGGTATACACAATAGTGGAACGGGATTAGGTTAATTAAGGCTTTGGGAAGGACTTGATCCCGTTCCACTATTGTGTATACTACTAGAGGCCAGATCACACACTGGAGTTGCATCATCAAGACATGCCGAGGGAAATGTTCCACTGTTGGGGACTTCCTGAAAGATTTCTCGGACCACTGCCATCCACCTAGAGATCCCACTCAAGTCCAGTTTGTTAGTAATTTGCGGAAAGGGGCCAGAGAAGTAGCTACACCTGTCCAGGCCATCTACAATGCAGAAGTTGGTCTAGAACGGGTCAGCAACCCAGTGCAACACTTAATCCGGATTACATCGGATTACCTGACCGGACAAGTGGGACGACCCCATCGACGTTTTGCCAATGAACCCTCCAGCGAACCGAAAAGGAACTTGAACAAACTCTCTTGGATTAGGATTTCTGCTGAAGTCATCCGCCGACTGACGATGACAATGAGACGGCGTGAGTTGGCGTGTACGGACACACGCTACCGATGACGTGTCCCCTGACTCCTGTTTCATTATGTGACTCTTCATGCAGTTATTGAATAAACTCTGATATGTGTAGTTTATAATTTTGACCCTTGAGCCCTTTTTTAATGAATTGCGGGAATTGCAATACCAGCATTAAATGGATTTTCATTCAAATTATTGGAAAATCATTTCTGTTTGTAAAATAATTTATTATAAATCTCACATACGTCTTTCTTCCTATTTTTCGTCAAGTGAAGTCGGTGATAACTTTCTTTTGCCCGGTAGTTTTACTTAGGCTTATGATATGGTACCAAAACTAACCACGCATGCATGCATGCATGCATACCAACTTCGCACATCTTGTGGGGAGATAATCGTGTCCCGTTCCCCACGCTTGTCGTAACAGTCGGTGAAAGACATCGGATGACTCCCTGGGGGATATGTGTCATCCTGATGTGGAAAAACTGCACGTGTGTGTGTTGAGGAAGTAAGCACAAGCACATTTGTACAATATGTACTCAGTGTACATTGCGCGGTTGGGTAGCTTAAAATTTAACCATACCGATGATGTCAACTTGTAACATTTGAGGCACCAACTAAACATGTATTTCGTAGCTTTGCTTGTGGAAAAAAATAATAATAAATAATTATTTGTTTCAATATTTCACTGGTGTACAAACATTAATATCAATTATGTAAAAACCATCAAGTATGTGAGGGTTAATCAACCCAGCTGAGAAGGTTATAGATTGGGTATTAGCTACGCAAACAACTGTACACGTTCTCGTCATAAGCTGTAGATGTTCTGGGAGGACGTTCAGTACTTATCAATATAAACTGACCGGCAAAAGAAATTATACCAAAAGTTACCATTTCTCAAATTTTAAAGAAATATTTTGTAGATAAATTATACACTGAAACATGTCACGCCAACGTTGCAAGAACCTTCGGCTGCACCCCTGTAGCCGTCTCTAGACTGCTGCAACGGTACAAACAGACGGACCAGACACAGGACAGACCAAGAAGTGGAAGACCGCGAGTTACAACACCAGCTGAAGACCGGCATTTAAGGACGTTACACCCGAGAAACCGTTTCCTTATGGTAACGTCATCAGCGGCAACTTCCCTTGATCACCGTGTCAGTCGATACGCGGCGGCTAGACGTCTTCGGGCAGCAGGTATCAGAGCCTACAGACCCTTCAAAGGACAGGTGTTGACCTCTGAACACAGACGTCAGATTGCGTTGGGCCAGAGTTGTTCGTCGTTGGCAGCGTCAAGACTGGGTTCGTGTATTGTTCAGCGACGAAAGACGGTTTCTCTATACAGGTCTGATGGACGTGTATACCGTCGTAGAGGTGAACGTTTGGCTGCTTGTTGTGTCCAAAAGGTTACACCCTGCGGTGGTGGGGGTGTCATGGTTTGGGGAGCCATCTGTGGAGAAGAAAGAACTGCTTGTGATTATTGATAGGACCTTGAATGCAGAGAGGTATAGCGACCAGGTTGTCCTTCCTTTTCTTAGGCAACAGGCTTATCATGTGTTCTTCAAACATGGCAGTGCACGCCCTCATACTGCCAGGATTGTGGCCGATTTTCTGGAGAGGAACAACGTGAACGTTCTACCGTGGCCAGCACGTTCTCCAGACATGTCCCCGATTGAGCACATCTGGGATGCACTAGATAGACGCGTGCGGAAACGCCCTAACCCACCACAGAATAAACAGCAACTTGCACAAGCCCACCAGGACCAATGGCATCGCATACCACGTGACCTTGTCCGACGTTTGACGTCTTCGGCGAGAAGGAGAGGGCGTGCCTGTATTGATGCAAGGGGTGGACATACAGCATGCTAAAGTGATGGTAATGAGCATTTATTGTGTGGAACTCAGTACCTGCATATCCTCTATGTGATTGAAAAGTGTTTTTTCAGGATCCTCAGTGAACTTGCGCATGTCTTACGCCACGAATTTCTGTAGTATGTGTGTGATTTTTAGCTCAGGTTGACTAAAGATGTTGTTAACAATTTAACACCACTGAATAATGTTTTGTGTGTATAGGTAGCCTAGGTCAATGATAATGACATCTTGAAAACCTTGTATACTTTCTTTTGCGCGTCAGTTTATATATAACACACATATATATATATATATATATATATATGTGTGTGTTTAAACGTTAGCGGCAGAGAGCATCCAGTCTCGATTATGAATCAAAACAGATTTCAATGAGCACAATTGAAAATTGTGAAAATTCTGTGAGTCACTGTAAATCAGTCTTAACACCTGGTGTCAGGATAAGCATCACATATCCAACTGTGTGCACCCGCTAAAACAATTTGCATAAGAATATGTATGTATCTTGCCTGACATCGGACTAGTGTTGCTGCCTAGAGACTATCAAGGATATCCGAGGAAATACCAGTTTTCATTTGATTTGAACAATTGGCTTGGTTTCACGTGTATTTGTGCTGTGTGCCAACAGGATACGATCATCTTTTGGAAACACAAGGCATTTTCACTGTTTCAGAAACCATACTTGAGAATCGGAATCGTACGATCGACTCTTCTTTTAGCAGTAATATCTCACGAATATGGAAAGAGTTTGGAGCATATCTATTCATGTCTGTGCGATCGACAACAGGTTTAGATTACCGTTTTTATACTCACCTGCATGTCTCTAATTGAAATAACTTTATGTCGTTTCGAACTGTTTTAAATCAAGTCAATCAACCTTTGAGTGAGTGAGTGAATGGGTATGATTTTACGCCGTTTTGGGCAATATTCCAGCAATATCACGGCGGGGGATACCAGAAATGGGAATACCAGAATCGAACCCTTGTCTTCCGCGTGACAAGCGGATGCTTTAACCATCAGGCTACCCCACCGCTCTAATCACCCTTTGACACGTTGTGGCATACAACGACGTAACTGTATTAAACAAACGCCTATTCACTCGTATTTATTATGATAAGCATGATTAAAAATAAAAAGCAGAACAAACACTGAATCAACAATTCTGTATTCATGCATTAGAAATAGTGTACAGAATACATGGCAGTCCCAAATAAATTAATTGGCATGTATGAGTGTGCCTCCATAACTTGAATATTTGCCTCCGCGGAGAGGAACGGTGCGAGAAGACACATCAGCATACATCCAGACCTGGTCTCCTTGGCCCAAGTAGGTAGTTGTGGTGATTGATGCTACACCATGTAATTGGCCTCTGATAAACCCACGACCAATCATTTTGCTTCTTTTGACGATGTTGACGGTCATATAGGTACTCGATCTTACCATCACATTTGCCCAGAAGACGTATGTGCCAGACACGGGGGCTGTGAAAATACCTGTGGCGTTGTTGTAAGCATTCCCTTGGTTGTACAAGACCGTGTCAAATGTAAGAGGGTTATTACCAATCAGGTTTATGTCTGACTGTAGAGACACACTGTAGGCCACGTCAGTTGCTTGGGTCGCTTAAACACAAAGTATTTATGCTATTTAGCACATCCATCAGTTTATATACTTGTATCTTATGACTTGTTTGTATTTCATGCACGGTAAATATCAAAATTGGACACAGGCAAGTATAATCTATGCCAAAACAATTATCAGTAACATTCACAGTCATGTCCACATTACTCGAAATTCCCTTGACGCTGAAATAGTCCAAGGTATCAGGAACATATTTAATGAATTAATAGTGTCCGTTATGATGTATCTGAATCGAGATAGCATTATGCTTAATGACACTGGTATTGTACACATAAATACACCTCTAAAAAAATAGGGGATCAACAGCCTATGTTATATGAAGCAAAATAAGTGTTGATGACAACCTATGCAAGAACAATTATGTCTTTAACACTTAATTACACCAAAACATGAACATCATGTACATTAATTATACAACAAGCATTACTGACATGAGCGTAATGTGATATTCTTCCTCAAGACTATTTTTACATATGGGGCTAATCCTCGGAACTGGATCAATCTTATTACATCGCCCTTCATTATATTTCAACCCCATTAACCATCCTCTAAAGAGGCTTTTGACTACTGAAAATCTACCTCTTCAAAAAGATATTTTTCAGGTGTCAGAAGACGTTTGAGTTCTCTATATGAACCATAACGTGACATACTTTCGAGTGTTGATCTCCATTGTTTGTTTAAAAATATCGACTGAACGAGTTTTATAGTATTTATAAAACAGACACGTTTCCAACAGTTTGTCAAAGACAGAAAAAAACAGAATTAGTGAGAACAATGTAACATTCTGGTTTTCGAAGCCCATTTTAGAAAGCCATTATTGTCCATAATTAACAGCAAATCATAAGCTTTTGGACGAAAGCAGTCTATATGCATCGCCGGAATTTTTAACCAAGAAGTTATACAGCGAACGGCCGAATTGTAAAAAACAACAGGAACCGACCTCATTGACCATTCGCTGTAGCATTCGGCGTCTGACGTCAGACCTTTCGAAATAATTTACAAGCTAAGAGATGTATTTTTCATATTTTTAAATCCCCATACCTCCGAAGCATATACAATGATTCATTGTATTTGGCAGGCAAATATCTGAAAGAAAACATCAAATGACAATGGTCCGATTTGTCTCAGGTTAACACTCAGTTCCACTGTTGGTTTTCCACGCTATGAGAGGTGTCTTTTCCATACTAAAATTGCACGTGAATACAAAACCTAGACTATTAATAACTATGAACTACTTTTAAATGATCGCCTTTAAAATAGCATTTATTTTATTTTTTAATTGTTTTTATGTTCGCTAATCTATCCGTTTTTTAACGATAACTATATCCAAATTAACTGTTAAACCCCATGTTTCTGAATATGAGGATAAAGTCGTCATCCGAATTCTTATCCGCAACCCCCGAATTTCTAGTATTAATGGGAACAATTGCATTCCATGTTTTCCATTTTGGAAGGTTCCGTTTATGAACAATGAAAATAGCATTGGCTTCACGTACATCCTTCTTTGAAGGGCATTAAGAAGTGGAATGTGTGAAAAGCAAGATTTATGGATGTCAACTTCTTTATTGTGAATAACAAGACGTTTCTGAGTGTATGTATGCTGTCATCACCTGATGAAGGAGCAAGCATACACTCCGAAACGTGTTATTCACAATAAAGAACTTGACATCCACAAATCTGGCTTTTCACACACACCCTTGTCTTAAAACGAATGCACAGTTAAAATAATCTGTTAAATGGTTATTACATCGCACACACGATTTAGCTGAAGAATAAATGCCTTTTAATGCTTGCATAATACTTTTCCCACTGCTGTCAGGGCTTTATAAGAAATGCCAAAATATCATTCTGTCTACACAATTATAGGTTTTATAAAATCTACGGTATTCTTTTTTCCTTACTTTTAAAAACACTATTCAATGACTTGACTATTGCTGAGTGCGGCGTTAAACATGAACCAACGAATCAACTAAACCCTGCTTGATTTTCTGATATGTTGTTCATTATATTTGCCCATTGTGTTAAACGTTCATTCAATATACTGCATATAATGTACTTTATAATGACATGTCCCTGTAAGTTTGAACGTTCCCCCTTTTTGTGTAAAAGAATAATAACGGCTCTTCTGCATGAATCGGAGAAACTGACACTATTCTAAAGATTGTTGGCGAAATAAGATTACGCACGCTCCGGTATTTTTAATCACAACTGTTAACATATCGTCAACTCCAGGTAATGCACCATTTTTTATCCGTTTTATAGCATTTTTAAATTTCTTCTTCGCTAATATGAGATTCCAATATTTCAACATCGCTCCTTTCGATAGTTATACAAAACTTCAATTCCGTTTCTTTTTCAGTAGAGTTAAGCTTAACCTAAATTGTTTGGAAATGTTTACAACATGTTTCAGCTGAAAAAACAGCTGAATTTCAATCAGGATTATATATGTTTCTGTACTCCTTCTAGAATAATTTAGAATTTCTTCTAGATAAGTACAGCTTTCTAGACGTATTTTGTTTATATTTTGCCTTTTCTACGTTTAAGAAGTTAACTTTGATGAGTTCATTCCCAATTTAGTTGCAACATGTCTGTACTTACCGAGTGATCGTGTAATATTAGCGAGCAGTGCGTCCTTGTCCCGTAGAGCGGATTTCATTGTTTCTTGGTTTGATGCCATGGACCTCAGTTCTGTTGACAGATTTGCCACAGTTCGTTCCAGTTGAAGAATATGGGTGAACAAAGTGCCCACAACACAACTCTGTCCGTTGTCAGGTTCAGGCTGGTTGCTGGCACAGGCAGCAAGAACAAACAGCGCTGGCACAAGCAGTAAACGCATCATGATCATTGGTCATGGAAAGAATAGTACAACACCGAGCGGGACGTGTTATATAACCTCGTTTGAACGTGTGAGTGTGATATATATATGAGATAATTATCATTCGCCCGTTTTCCCAATGACGCACATCCTGTTTCATTTGTGTCATCGTTTCATCTGTTATTATTATCGATTTTCATGAAGCATTTAACCTCAAACGCAAAGCGCCAATCATTGTATTTATTATTAGTTTGTATGTATGTTTGTTTGTTTATTAATTTGCTTGTTTGTATGTTTGCTATTCTCTGTTTATTCATTTGTACGTTTTAGCTAGTAATCAGTCATTTTTCTGTTTTTAGCTCGTTGTTGGTCGACCAGAGAGAGAGTTGTCTTCCAAACTGTCTATAAAATTCATTCATTTTAACTCTTTATTGGGCGGTGGGGTAGCCTAGGGGTTAAAGCATTCGCTCGTCACACCAAAGACCCGGGTTCGATTCCCCACATGGGTACAATGTGTGAAGCCCATTTCTGGTGTCCCCCGTCGTGATATTGCTGTAATATAGCTAAAAGTGGCGTAAAACTAAACTCACTCACTCTAACTCTTTTTAACTGTGGCATATGATGGCAAGCTTGCACATAAACATCATGTACCTATGATTGACACTCCTCTGCCAGCACTTCCATGACCACACTATACTCAATTTTGTCTATTTCCATGATAAAGAATAGGGTCAAAGTCGCCGGCAGGAAGCACGTCGAATTGTGAAAGATAACTCGAAAAACACAGGAAAATAGTATTTAAATACTGAGCTTAATAACAACCTAGAAATGCCAGACTTGTAATGGAATACATACAAATCTTGAAATAATATTCTAGTTAGATGAGAACGATATTAATTTCTGAGGGCTGTGAGCAAGTATGTTTGGTGTTGGCATCGATGGTGTGGTAAGTACAACCACTGCAACTCAGACATTGTCTTTGAGTAATACTGCCGAGTTTACTGTGCAGTGAATTCATGCACAAGAGTTACCAAACTTGAATCTAATCCGTTAGCACTGACAATTTGCTTGAGACATGTTGCGCGTTCAGACACGTTCCTGGAGGTAGAATTATACCAACATTATCTCCCTTGTTCACTGTACCACCTTTTACATACCATTTAAAGAAGTCGCCTTTTTAACACTTAAGAAGTGGCGAAGTGTCTGCAGGTTTAACCATCAGACTCCATGACGTTTGACTTTTGACATTTAACTAAACGTCTTACCACAAATATATCCCATATACATCAGTTCAAACGCTAGGGATATTCACGTACGTATTTCTAGCTACACCTCCAAACATCATCGTCCGTGAAGATCAGGGTCAAGTGGCTGACTATGTTTAGAGTTATTTGGTTTCCAGTGTTTCTGGCGCCATGAATGAAGACTGCTTTATCTGAGGGGCAAATGAAACTACCTGTCAGTTGGTTTTTATCATACCTTTGACTGTTAATTGAAAAATATGTGAGGTTGGCGATATTGTGTCCGAAACATGACCTGTACTCGCGCTAAGTCATCACTCAAGAATATTTCTATTGATCCTGAACACATTTGCTTTTGGACAGCACTCTTTTAAAACATTTTAATCAGTATACAGGTTATGTGGCCGCAAATTCATTTCACATCCAGTCTTCATTGTACCCTTTTATTTTTACACAAAAGTAGCAAGCCACAGATTACATTTCTTTTAAATGTCCCCGGAATGACCCATGGTTATTAGAAATTCAAATTAAATGGCAGTTCTTTCATTTTTTAATGACATAAAAACCAAACTCAGTTTAGATTCTCTTGCACCTTAGACACGGTGTGTCAGAAGTGTGAAATGGTATCTGTTTCTTTGATAGAAATATATTGCTCCTTGTGGATACACCCGTGAAGATCCGGGTTAGAATTGGTCTTCAGCAGCCCATGCTTGTCGTAAAAGGCTGCTAACGGGATTTGGTGGTCAGACTCGCTGACTTAGTTAACACATGACATCGTATCCCCATTGCGTAGATCGATGGTCATGTTGTTGATCATTGGAGTGTCTGTTCCAGACTCGATTATTTACAGACTGCCGCCATATAGCTGGAATATTGCTGAATGCGGCGTTAAACAACAGCCAATCAATCAAGCAAAGCCTGCTTGATTTTCGGATATGTTGTTCATTATATTTGCCCATTGTGTTAAACGTTCATTCAATATACTGCTATATAATTTACTTAAGATTCTTAATATGAAATGCCCCTGTAATTATCTGAATTTTGAACGTTCCCCTTTTTGTGTAAAAGAATAATAATCGCTTTTCTCGATGAATCGGAGAAACTGTCACTATTCTAAAGATTGTTGACGAAATGGCATTACGCACGCTCCAATGTTTTTATTACAACTGTTAAAATATTCTCCAGGTGATGTACCATTTTTTATCCGTTTTATAATTTTTTTTCTTCGCTCATATGAGACTCCAATATTTCAACATTTCTCATTTTGATAGATATATACTAAGCAGCAAAAAGAAACGTCAGTTTGAAATTTTCCATCGCAGAAACGGATAACTGTAAACTTATTTAATGTTTTGATTGTATATTTTTGACAACATCTCCAACGTTACCTAAGTAAAGACATTCCTTCCCAAACTCAGAATGGAACCCAGGAAATGGTCTCAAAAAACGCAACCTGATCTCGGAGATGGTACGGTGTTCTCCATGTTTTCCATGCAACTCATGGGGCGGTGGGGTAGCCTAGATGTTAAAGCGTTGGCTCGTCACTCTGAAGACCCGGGTTCGATTCCCCATATGGGTACAATGTGTGAAGCCCATTTCTGGTGTCCCCCGCCGTGATATTGCTGGAATATTGCTAAAAGCGGCGTAAAACTATACTCACTCACTCACTCACTCACTCACTCACTTCATGCAACTCATGCTGCACGTGCTGTTCACAAGGACCAGCCCTATAAAATGCACTACCAAACCTGGTTGAAACATTCACGTCTCACGACAGCTCAGAGGAACCAGGCGCTAGGAAGACTTGAAGCTGGCCACACTGCACAAGCCGTTGCCAATCACTTCCAGGTCAACGTTCGGACCATCTACAGGCTGCACCAACGTTTCCGGGCCAGCAACACCACAAATGATCGCCCACGTACTGGCAGACCAAGGGTGACCACAAGACGACAACACAGCCATGTTGTGCGATAGTATGTAATCCCTTCATGCAGGCATCCGAAACATCACCCCAGACAGTGGGAACACACGGAAGACCAATCAGTACGCCGACGTCTTAACAGCGAGAACCTCCATTGCCGTAGACCTTACCGTGGACCTATTCTCACCCCTCGTCATCGGCGTGAACTTCTACAGTTTGCCCTACAACACCCAAACTGGCGATGCAGGCAATGGAGAACTGTTCTGTTCACAGATGAGAGTCGGTACTGCGTATCAACTGCAAATGGCAGAACAAGAATAGGGGGACGACGTGGCCAGCGATCAGACCAATGTGTTATGGAAAGAGACTCATGGGGAGGTGCAAGCATCGTGGTATGGGGTGGAATAGGCCTGAACCAAAGAGTGGGTCCTATGGTGTTCCAGAACCTAGGTCCATGGAGAGGAGGCGGAATAACAGCGGTACGCTACATCGACCAAGCTCTCAGACCCCACGTCATACCACATTTCGCACGTCACCGGAACAACATTTCCCAGCAAGATAACGCCAGGGCCCATACTGCCAGAGCTACACGGGACTTCCTACAGCAAAACGGTGTCAACATTATGCAGTGGCCAGCCCTAGTCCTGATTTAAACCCAAATGAACATCTTTGGGATGAAATTCAGAGGAGACTGAATAATGTCACACTAAGGCCGAACACAGCCGATTTATTGCGCCAGGCCTTTCTCAGAGTGTGGTTCCAGGTGCCAATGGCCTTTATCAATCGACTGGTGCACTCCATGCAAAGAAGCTGTGCTGCAGTTATTGCCGCTCGTGGTGGTCACACTAGATACTGAAGTCAAGAGTCTGAATGTACTGCCAACGTTCACGTAATGTCTTGAAAATTGTGCTGAGTTATTCATTGATGTGTAAGATATTGTACGCAAAAAATGTTTTTGATCCGCTTGTTATGTCCATTTTTGTTATGATTTGATTACAGTGCCTATCTGATTTCAATTCGTACTGACGTTGTTTTTGCTGCTGAGTATAGAAAACGTCAATTCAGTTGTTTTTTTCAGTAAAGTTAGGGTTATCATAAATTATTTGGAAATGTTTACAAGAAGTTTCATCAGAAAAATCAGCTGAATTTCTCTTGGGATTATATAATTATGTTTCTCAATAATAATTCCTTCCAGAATAATTTAGAATTTCTTCTGGATAAGTACAGCTTACTGCGTTAAACAACAACCATACCAAACCAAACCCAATTGGTAGGAGGCTGTACACGATATTTAGGTTCATAGGTAAATAGTTAAACAACAAACCAACCAATCAACTAGCCTTGTGGATTTGAAAATTGGCAATGTGTTTACCCAGACATTCAGTGTGAAACCAACCAACTAGTCTGTATTACATAAACTTAGTTCCCAAATCAATATAAATTACTCACAGACGTTTCAATGACAGTGGCCAATAAAGTAACATTACACAATTCAACGACACAATGAAGCATAATAGAAGTGACAGAAAATCAGTCATAAAAATATTCACCCAGCAGCACCGGTGGTCAATTTTCACAATAAGCCTGGCTGGATAAAAGTAACGTTCTTCACAGAACTGTTGTATTGAGAGATGGAGAGACAAGTGTTTATCCACTTAGTTATAGGTTTTTATAAGATTCCAGATTACACCCCAAAACATCTTAATATGTGGCTACCACTCCACTGATGCAGGTAAGTAATACATTCCTTATAAGCAATTACTGCTGAAACACCATGTTATGAACTTCTACTGAACTGAACAATCGTTGTCCATATTTCTAGACACTGGTTGATCTACTCCTGATGGCGACATTCTACAGACTGTTCATATGGCTGTAATGCAGCAGACTGCCTCATTGAAACTCATTCAGTATTCCAGTGAATTTGGCTCCATTCTTGTACAAATCTTAAATACTCACATGTACACTGACCTGCACTGAGGAACCAATATCCATAGAAACTGTAAATTCATTAAATAATACAATTACATTCATTAAATAATACAATTCAAACAGAAATAAAAGCGGTGAATGAGCTAGAAAACACCAAGAAAGCTAAGCAATAGAAGCAGGCTCACAGTTGGAATTGTTGGCTGTTAAGATATTTTTATGAGCATCTTCAGATACATGCACGAACTTATTCCTCCATATCACTTTCATATGCTTATTATGAAATGATGCTAAATCGAAATATTATTTAATCAACTAACGAACCTGTCAGTTTCAGCTCTGACGATAATAAACCGAAACACGAGTCTCATTAACCAATTCAGACAATGACCTACTTTTCAGCCGATCCGAAGTTTCTCGTGTGAAAGTGAAAATAGACACTACAAACAACTATGGTTACACTGAATTCCAATTCCTTGTTTTATAAGATGGTATTTACGCATTAATGCTAAATTTAAAGTTTAAAAAAATCATATTTCTATATTTTATGTCGAGGTTTAGGCAGCATGTAGCTAACTAAAACGTCACATACTGCCTCTGTTTGAAGAGGTTGTACAATGATTCACAATTCATCTGGCTCACTGATTACGCCTTTTATGTGTTCTTTGCGTTAATTCAGTGTATTTTTGTAACGTACAATGTGATTGATATAATATCAAGTCCGTACAAGACCGCCAAACGTTTCTAGCGGCCCAGCCTCGTTTTGAGATTTCAATGATTTCCAGATTTACGTTTGTCAGAGCACGCTGTACGACAGAGCACGCTGTACGACGTGTTTGCAAGGATTAGAAGGAGCGTAGTGTTGCAATATACAAGTGATATAATATAAATAGTTGAATGAGTTGGTCTCAAAATTCTGGACTGGTTATTGTACTAAGTTGCGCAATAGGACGGAACCCATTCAGCAGGAAACGCGACTGTTGTGTAATCAATGTTTTGACTTGATATGTTCAGTAATACGTCTGTTGAATGCTTCTTAAAATCTCTGTTTTTTACTAATTTCAAAGTTTGAAGTTCTATGACTATTGTAACTGGTGTAGTTTAGCATGGACTTCATGACGCCCATTTTAACAGATCACAAGGTCGAGCTCAGTCCCTATTCCCTTGCCCTCTGCAAAGCTTCCATAATGTATTCAGTTATTTATTGATTGGTCAGAGCTTATAGCTCTAAAATGTGGCACTGACTGTAGTACTCAGATATCTACTCCCAACCGTTGATAATTGGTTAAAAAATAGTTCCCTTGCCCTTTCAAAAGCATCCAGAATGTACTCTTGGTCAGTGACAGTAGCTCCAATAAAATGTTATTCGCTCATACGCTGACATAAAATAAAGTAACGACATTAAACATACACCTTCTCACAAGCTATTGTTTTGGATAACCAGAATAAAACCAAAACAAAATTGAATTCAAATCTGTATTTAGATATTATTAACAGTGTACAGAGTACATCGAAATCCCGGACCAATTATTGGACACGAATGAGTGTTCCACCATAACTTGAATGTTCGTCTCCCCTGGAGATCAATGGTGGAAGCAGCGACGTCAGCATTATCCACTGTATTTATTATGATAAGCATGATTAAAAATTAAAAAGCAGAACAAACACTGAATCAACAATTCTGTTTTCATGTATTAGTAATAGTGTACAGAATACATGGCAATCCCAAATCAATGAATGGGCATGTATGAGTGTGCCTCCATAACTTGAATATTTGTTTCCCTGGAGAGGAATGGTGGAAGAAGACCCATCAGCATGCATCCAGACCTGGTCTCCTTGGCCCAAGTAGGTAGTTGTGGTGATTGATGCTACACCATTTACGTGGCGGACGATATGCCCTCGACCAATCACCGTGCTTCCTTTGAAGATGTTGAGCGTCATAGAGGTACTCGATCTTACCATCACATTTGCCCAGAAGACGTATGTGCCAGACACGGGGGCTGTGAACATACCAGTGGCGCTGTTGTAAGCATTCCCCTTGTTGTACAAGACGATGTCAAATGTAAAAGGTTTTTTAACAATCTGGTTGATGTTTGACCGAAGAGACACGCTGTAGGCCACGTCAGTTGCTTGGGCCGCTGAAAAACAAAGTATTTATGCTATTTAACACATCCATCAGTTCATATATATTTGTATCTTATACCTTGTTTGTATTTCATGCACTGTTAATATTAATATTGGACACAGGCAAGTATAATCTATACCCAAACAGTTATCAGTAACATTCACAGTCATGTCCACATTACTCGAAATTCCCATGAAGTTGAAATAGTCCAAGGTATCAGGAACATATTTAATGAATTAATAGTGTTCGTTATGATGTATCTGAGTCGAGGTAACATTATGCTTAATGACACTGGTACTGTATACACAAATACACTCTCTAAAAAAGGGGGGGATCAACAGCCTATGTTTCATAAAGCAAAATAAGTGTTGATGACAACCTATGCAAGAACAATTATGTCTTTAACACTTAATTATACCAAAACATGAATATCGTGTACATTAATTATACAACAAGCATTAATGACATGAGCGTCATGTGATATTCTTCCTCAAGACTATTTTTACATATGGGGCTAATCCTCGGAACTGGATCAATCTTATTACATCGCCCTTCATTATATTTCAACCCTATTAACCATCCTCTAAAGAGGCATTTGACAATGAAAATCTACCTCTTCAAAAAGATATTTTTTTAGGTGTCAGAAGACGTTTGAGTTCTCTAGATGAACCATAACGTGACATACTTTCGAGTGTTGATCTCCATTTTTTTTTTACAAATATCGACTGAACGAGTTTTATAGTATTTATAAAACAAACACGTTTCCAACAGTTTGTCATAGACAGAAAAAAACAGAATTAATGAGAATAATGTAATATTCTGGTTTTCGAAGCCCATGTTAGCAAGCCATTATTGTCCATAATTAACAGCCAATCATAAGCTTTTGGACGAAAGCAGTCTATATGCATCGACGGAATTTTTAACCAAGAAGTTATACAGCGAACGGCCGAATTGTAAAAAAGAACAGGAACCAACCTCATTGACCATTCGCTATAGCATTCGGCGTCTGACGTCAGACGTTTCGAAATAATTTACAAGCTAAGAGATGTATTTTTCATATTTTTTAAATCCCCATACCTCCGAAGCATATACAATGATTCATTGTATTTGGCAGGCAAATATCTTAAAGAAAACATCAAGTGACAATGGTCCGATTTGTCTCAGGTTAACACTCAGTTCCACTGTTGGTTTTCCACGCTTTTCCATACTAAAATTGCACGTGAATACAAAACCTCGACTATTAATAACAATGAACTACGTTTTAATGATTGCCATTAAAATAGCATTTATTTTATTTTTTATTTTTTAAAACGAATGCACAGTCAAAATAATCTGTGAAATGGTCATTCCATCGCACACACGATTTAGCTAAAGAATAAATGTCTTTTAATTAATGCTTGCATAATACTTTCCCCACAGCTGTCAGGGCTCTATAAGAAATGCCAAAATATCATTCTGTCTACACAATTATAGGTTTTATAAAATCTACGGTATTCTTTTTTCCTTACTTTTAAAAACACTATTCAATGACTGGACTATTGCTGAGTGCGGCGTTCAACATGAACCAGTGAATCAACTAAACCCTGCTTGATTTTCTGATATGTTCATTCAATATACTGCATATAATGTACTTTATAATGACATGTCCCTGTAAGTTTGAACGTTCCCCCTTTTTGTGTAAAAGAATAATAACGGCTCTTCTGCATGAATCGGAGAAACTGACACTATTCTAAAGATTGTTGACGAAATGAGATTGCGCACGCTCCGGTATTTTTAATCACAACTGTTAACATATTGTCAACTCCAAGTGATGCACCATTTTTTATCCGTTTTAAAGCATTTTTAATTTTCTTTTTCGCCAATATGAGATTCCAATATTTCAACATCGCTCATTTCGATAGTTATAGAAAACTTCAATTCCGTTTCTTTTCCAGTAAAGTTAAGCTTATCCTAAATTGTTTGGAAATGTTTACAACATGTTTCAGCTGAAAAATCAGCTGAATTTCAATCAGGATTATATATTTTTCTCAACTCCTTCTAGAATAATTTAGAATTTCTTCTAGATAAGTACAGCTTTCTAGACATATTTTGTTTATATTTTGCCTTTTCTGCGTTAAAGAAGTTAACTTTGATGAGCTCATTCCCATTTTAGTGGCAACATGTCTGTACTTACCAAGTGATCGTGTAATATTAGCGAGCAGTGCGTCCTTGTCCCGTAGAGCGGATTTCATTGTTTCTTGGTTTGATGCCATGGACCTCAGTTCTGTTGACAGATTTGCCACAGTTCGTTCCAGTTGAAGAATATGGGTGAACAAAGTGCCCACAACACAATTCTGTCCGTTGTCAGGTTCAGGCTTGTTGCTGGCACAGGCAGCAAGAATAAACAGCGCTGGCACAAGCAGTAAACGCATCATGATCATTGGTCATGGAAAGAATAGTACAACACCGAGCGGGACGTGTTATATAACCTCGTTTGAACGTGTGAGTGTAATATATATTTCATAATTATCATTCGCCCGTTTTCCCAATGACGCACATCCTGTTTCATTTGTTTCATCGTTGTGTCATCTGTTATTATTATCGATTTTCATGAAGCATTTAACCTCACACGCAAAGCGCCAATCATTGTATTTTTTACTAGTTTGTATGTGTGTTTGTTTGTTTATTATTTTGCTTGTTTGTATGTTTGCTATTCTCTGTTTATTCATTTGTACGTTTTAGCTAGTAATCAGTCATTTTTCTGTTTTTAGCTCGTTGTTGGTCGACCAGAGGGAGAGTTGTCTTCCAAACTGTCTATAAAATTCATTCATTTTAACTCTTTATTGGGCGGTGGGGTAGCCTTGTGGTTAAAGCATTCGCTCGTCACACCAAAGACCAGGGTTCGATTCCCCACATGGGTACAATGTGTGAAGCTCATTTCTGGTGTCCCCCGTCGTGATATTGCTGTAATATAGCTAAAAGTGGCGTAAAACTAAACTCACTCACTCTAACTCTTTTTAACTGTGGCATATATGATGGCAAGCCTGCACATAAACATCATGTACCTATGATTGACACTCCTCTGCCAGCACTTCCATGACCACACTATACTCAATTTTGTCTATTTCCATGATAAAGAATAGGGTCGAAGTCGCCGGCAAGAAGCACGTCGAATTGTGAAAGATAACTCGAAAAACACAGGAAAATAGTATTTAAATACTGAGTTTAATAACAACCTAGAAATGCCAGACTTGTAATGGAATACATACAAATCTTGAAATAATATTCTAGTTAGATGAGAACGATACTAATTTCTGAGAGCTGTGAGCAAGTATATTTGGTGTTGGCATCGATGGTGTGGTGAGTACAACTACTGCAACTCAGACATTGTCTTTGAGTAATACTGCCGAGTTTACTGTGCAGTGAATTCATGCACAAGAGTTACCAAACTTGAATCTAATCCGTTAGCACTGACAATTTGCTTGAGACATGTTGCGCGTTCAGACACGTTCCTGGAGGTAGAATTATACCAACAATATCTCCCTTGTTCACTGTACCATCTTTTATATACCATTTAAAGAAGTCGCCTTTTTAACATTTAAGAAGTGGTGAACTGTCTGCAGGTTTAATCCTCAGACTCCATGACGTATGACTTTTGACATTTAACTAAACGTCTTACCACAAATATATCCCATATACATCAGGGATTTGGTGGTCAGGCTCACTGACTTAGTTAACACATGACATCGTATCCCCATTGCGTAGATCGATAGTCATGTTGTTGATGATTGGAGTGTCTGTTCCAGACTCGATTATTTACAGACTGCCGCCATATAGCTGGAATATTGCTGAATGCGGCGTTAAACAACAGCCAATCAATCAAGCAAAGCCTGATTGATTTTCGGATATGTTGTTCATTATATTTGCCCATTGTGTTAAACGTTCATTCAATATACTGCTATATAATTTACTTAAGATTCTTAATATGAAATGCCCCTGTAATTATCTGAATTTTGAACGTTCTCCTTTTTGTGTAAAAGAATAATAATCGCTTTTCTCGATGAATCGGAGAAACTGACACTATTCTAAAGATTGTTGACGAAATGACATCACGCACGCGCCGATGTTTTTATTACAACTGTTAAAATATTCTCCAGGTGATGTACCATTTTTTATTCGTTTTATAGCTTTTCTTCTTCGCTAATATGAGACTCCAATATTTCAACATCGCTCATTTCGATAGATATATACTAAGCAGCAAAAGAAACGTCAGTTTGGAATTTTCCATCGCAGAAACGGATAACTGTAAACTTATTTAATGTTTTGATTGTATATTCTTGACAACATCTCCAACTTTACCTGAGCAAAGACATTCCTTCCCAAACTCAGAATGGAACCCAGGAAATGGTCTCAAAAACGCAACCTGATCTCGGAGATGGTACGGTGTTCTCCATGTTTTCCATGCAACTCATGGGGCGGTGGGGTAGCCTAGTGGTTAAAGCGTTGGCTCGTCACTCTGAAGACCCGGGTTCGATTCCCCATATGGGTACAATGTGTGAAGCCCATTTCTGGTGTCCCCCGCCGTGATATTGCTGTAATATTGCTAAAAGCGGCGTAAAACTATATTCACTCACTCACTCACTCACTTCATGCAACTCATGCTGCACAAGGACCAGCCCTTTAAAATGCACACCCAAACCTGGTTGAAACATTCACATTACAACGTCAGCAGGATGCCGCGACTCACGACAGCTCAGAGGAACCAGGCGCTAGGAAGATTTGTAGCTGGCCACCAATCCGTTGCCAATCACTTCCAGGTCAACGTTCGGGCCATCTACAGGCTGCACCAACGTTTCCTTGCCAGCAACACCACAAATGATCGCCCCCGTACGTACAGACCAAGGGTGACCACAAGACGACAACACCGCCATGTTGTGCGATAGTATGTACAGAATCCCTTCATGCAGGCATCCGAAACAGCACGCCACACAGTGGGAACAACGGAAAACCAATCAGTACGCCGACGTCTTAACAGAGGGAACCTCCATTGCCGTAGACCTTACCGTGGACCTATCCTCACCCCTCGTCATCGGCGTGAACTTCTACAGTTAGCCCTACAACACCCAAACTGGCGATGTAGGCAACGGAGAACTGTTCTGTTCACAGATGGGAGTCGGTACTGCGTATCAACTGCAGATGGCAGAACAAGAATAGGGGGCCGACGTGGCCAGCGTTACTCAGACCAATGCGTTATGGAAAGAGACTCATGGGAGGTGCAAGCATCATGGTATGGGGTGGAATAGGCCTGAACCAGAGAGTGGGTCCTATGGCGTTCCAGAACCTTGGTCCATGGAGAGGAGGCGGCATCACAGCGGTGCGCTACATCGACCAAGCTCTCAGACGCCACGTCATACCACATTTCACACGTCACCGGAACCCATACTGCCAGAGCTACACGGGACTTCCTACAGCAAAACGGTGTCAACATTATGCAGTGGCCAGCCCTAGTCCTGATTTAAACCCAAATGAACATCTTTGGGATGAAATTCAGAGGAGACTGAATAATGTCACACCAAGGCCGAACACAGCCGATTTATTGCGCCAGGCCTTTCTCAGAGTGTGGTTCCCGGTGCCAGTGGCCTTCATCAATCGATTGATGCACTCCATGCAAAAAAGCTGTGCTGCAGTTATTGCCGCTCATGGTGGTCACACTAGATACTGAAGTCAAGAGTCTGAATGTACTGCAACGTTCACGTAATGTCTTGAAAATTGTGCTGAGTTATTCATTGATGTGTCAAGATATTGTACGCAAAAATGTTTTTGATCCGCTTATTATGTCCATTTCTGTTATGATTTGATTAAAGTGCCTATCTAATTTTGAATTCGTACTGACGTTGTTTTTGCTGCTGAGTATAGAAAACGTCAATTCATTTTCTTTTTCAGTAAAGTTAGGCTTATCATAAATTATTTGGAAATGTTTACAAGAAGTTTCATCAGAAAAATCAGCTGAATTTCTCTTGGTATTATATAATTATGTTTCTAAATAATAATTCCTTCCAGAATAATTTAGGATAAGTACAGCTTACGGCGTTAAACAACAACCATACCAAACCAAACCCAATTGGTAGGAGGCTGTACACGATATTTAGGTTCATAGGTAAATAGTTAAACAACAAACCAACCAATCAACTAGCCTTGTGGATTTGAAAATTGGCAATGTGTTAACCCAGACATTCAGTGTGAAACCAACCAACTACCCTGTATTACATAAACTAAGTTCCCAAATCAATATAAATTACTCACAGATGTTTCAATGACGGTGGCCAATAAAGTAACATTACACAATTCAACGACACAATGAAGCATAATAGAAGTGACAGAAAATCAGTCATAAAAATATTTACCCAGCAGCACAGGTGGTCAATTTTCACAATAAGCCTGGCTGGATAAAAGTAACGTTCTTCACAGAACTGTTGTATTGAGAGATGGAGAGACAAGTGTTTATCCACTTAGTTATAGGTTTTTTTAAGATTCCAGATTACACCCCAAAACATCATGATATGTGGCTACCACTCCACCGATGCAGGTAAGTAATACATTCCTTATAAGCAATTACTGCTGAAACACCATGTTATAAATTTCTACTGAACTGAACAATCGTTGTCCATATTTCTAGACACTGGTTGATCTACTCCTGATGGCGACATTCTACAGACTGTTCATATGGCTGTAATGCAGCAGACTGCCTCATTGAAACTCATTCAGTATTCCAGTGAATTGGCTCCATTCTTGTACAATTTTAAATACTCACATGTACACTGACCTGCACTGAGGAACCAATATCCATAGAAACTGTAAATTCATTAAATAATACAATTACATTCATTAAATAATGTAATTCAAACAGAAATAAAAGCGGTGAATGAGCTAGAAAACACCTAGAAAGGTAAGCAATAGAAGCAGGCTCACAGTTGGAATTGTTGGCTGTTAAGATATTTTTATGAGCATCTTCAGATACATGCACGAACTTATTCCTCCATATCACTTTCATATGCTTATTATGAAATGATGCTAAATCGAAATATCGTTTAATCAACTAACGAATCTGTCAGTTTCAGCTCTGACGATAATAAACCGAAACATGAGTCTCATTAACCAATTCAGACAATGACCTACTTTTCAGCCGATCCGAAGTCTCTCGTGTGAAAGTGAAAAGAGACACTACAAACAACTATGGTTACACTGAATTCCAATTCCTTGTTTTATAAGATGGTATTTACGCATTAATGCTAAATTTAAAGTTTAAAAAAATCATATTTCTATATTTAATGTCGAGGTTTAGGCAGCATGTAGTTAACTAGAACGTCACATACTGCCTCTGTTTGAAGAGGTTGTACAATGATTCACAATTCATCTGGCTAACTGGTTACACCTTTTATGTGTTCTTTGCGTTAATTCAGTGTATTTTTGTAACGTACAATGTGATTGATATAATATCAAGTCCGTACAAGACCGCCAAACTTTTCTAGCGGCCCAGCCTCGTTTTGAGATTTCCATGATTTCCAGATTTACGTTTGTCAGAGCACGCTGTACGACGTGTTTGCAAGGATTAGAAGGAGCGTAGTGTTGCAATGTACAAGTGATATAATATATATAGTTGAATGAGTGGGTCTCAAAATTCTGGACTGGTTATTGTACTAAGTTGCGCAATAGGACGGAACCCATTCAGCAGGAAACGCGACTGTTGTGTAATCAATGTTTTGACTTGATATGTTCAGTAATACGTCTGTTGAATGCTTCTTAAAATCTCTGTTTTTTACTAATTTCAAAGTTTGAAGTTCTATGACTATTGTAACTGGTGTAGTTTAGCATGGACTTCATGACGCCCGTTTTAACAGATCACAAGGTCGAGCTCAGTCCCTATTCCCCTTGCCCCTCTGCAAAGCTTCCATAATGTATTCAGTTATTTATTGATTGGTCAGAGCTAATAGCTCTAAAATGTGGCACTGACTGTAGTACTCAGATATCTACTCCCAACCGTTGATAATTGGTTAAAAAATAGTTCCCTTGCCCTTTCAAAAGCATCCAGAATGTACTCTTGGTCAGTGACAGTAGCTCCAATAAAATGTTATTCGCTCTTACGCTGACATAAAATAAAGTCACGACATTAAACATACACCTTCTCACAAGCTATTGTTTTGGATAACCAGAATAAAACCAAAAACAAAAATTGAATTCAAATCTGTATTTAGATATTATTAACAGTGTACAGAGTACATCGAAATCCCGGACCAATTATTGGACACGAATGAGTGTTCCACCATAACTTGAATGTTCGTCTCCCCGGAGATCAATGGTGGAAGCAGCGACGTCAGCATTATCCACTCGTATTTATTATGATAAGCATGATTAAAAATTAAAAAGCAGAACAAACACTGAATCAACAATTCTGTTTTCATGTATTAGTAATAGTGTACAGAATACATGGCAATCCCAAATCAATGAATGGGCATGTATGAGTGTGCCTCCATAACTTGAATATTTGTTTCCCTGGAGAGGAATGGTGGAAGAAGACCCATCAGCATGCATCCAGACCTGGTCTCCTTGGCCCAAGTAGGTAGTTGTGGTGATTGATGCTACACCATTTACGTGGCGGACGATATGCCCTCGACCAATCACCGTGCTTCCTTTGAAGATGTTGAGCGTCATAGAGGTACTCGATCTTACCATCACATTTGCCCAGAAGACGTATGTGCCAGACACGGGGGCTGTGAACATACCAGTGGCGCTGTTGTAAGCATTCCCCTTGTTGTACAAGACGATGTCAAATGTAAAAGGTTTTTTAACAATCTGGTTGATGTTTGACCGAAGAGACACGCTGTAGGCCACGTCAGTTGCTTGGGCCGCTGAAAAACAAAGTATTTATGCTATTTAACATATTCATCAGTTCATATATATTTGTATCTTATACCTTGTTTGTATTTCATGCACTGTTAATATTAATATTGGACACAGGCAAGTATAATCTATACCCAAACAATTATCAGTAACATTCACAGTCATGTCCACATTACTCGAAATTCCCTTGAAGTTGAAATAGTCCAAGGTATCAGGAACATATTTAATGAATTAATAGTGTTCGTTATGATGTATCTGAGTCGAGGTAACATTATGCTTAATGACACTGGTACTGTATACACAAATACACTCTCTAAAAAAGGGGGGGGGGGGGGTCAACAGCCTATGTTTTATAAAGCAAAATAAGTGTTGATGACAACCTATGCAAGAACAATTATGTCTTTAACACTTAATTATACCAAAACATGAATATCGTGTACATTACTTATACAACAAGCATTAATGACATGAGCGTCATGTGATATTCTTCCTCAAGACTATTTTTACATATGGGGCTAGTCCTCGGAACTGGATCAATCTTATTACATCGCCCTTCATTATATTTCAACCCTGTTAACCATCCTCTAAAGAGGCATTTGACAATGAAAATCTACCTCTTCAAAAAGATATTTTTCAGGTGTCAGAAGACGTTTGAGTTCTCTATATGAACCATAACGTGACATACTTTCGAGTGTTGATCTCCATTTTTGTTTAAAAATATCGACTGAACGAGTTTTATAGTATTTATAACAGACACGTTTCCAACAGTTTGTGATAGACAGACAAAAAACGAATTAGTGAGAACAATGTAAGATTCTGGTTTTCGAAGCCCATGTTAGGAAGCCAATATTGTCCATAATTAACAGCCAATCATAAGCTTTTGGACGAAAGCAGTCTATATGCATCGACGGAATTTTTTAACCAAGAAGTTATACAGCGAACGGCTGGACTGTAAAAAAGAACAGGAACCGACCTCATTGACCATACGCTATAGTATTCGGCGTCTGACGTCCGATGTTTCGAAATAATTTACAAGCTAAGAGATGTATTTTTCATAATTTTTAAATCCCCATACTTTCGAAGCATATTCAATGATTCATTGTATTTGGCAGGCAAATATCTGAAAGAAAACATCAAGTGACAATGGTCCGATTTGTTCCACTGTTGGTTTTTCCACGCTATGAGAGGTGTCTTTTCCATACTAAAATTGCACGAGAATACAAACCCTAGACTATTAATAACTATGAACTACCTTTAAATGATCGCCTTTAAAATAGCATTTATTTTCTTCTTTGTTTTATTTCTTTTTTTGCTAATCTATCCGTTTTATAACGATAACTATATCCAAATTAACTGTTAAACCCCATGTTTCTGAATGTGAGGCTAAAGTCGTCATCCGAATTCTTATCCGCAACCCCCGAATTTCTATACTGAACCGAAAAAGAAACCGAAAATTTTGTTCTTACAAGGTGGTGTTTTTATTGTGATTGTACCGTTTTGTTAACATGTTTTATAATCCAAATTGACAGTTATTACCAACATCAGTGTGTTTTCTGATGAAAAAGCATATCGACTAAAAGTACCTAAAAAGACAGACGTGGTAAAAGGTTCCGTATGACATTCGTGAAAATGAAAATGCATGTGCAAATCGTGACAACCCTACCAATGAAAGCGAGTCCCAAACTCGCCTGAAATCATTCTTGTGTTGACACAGTCGCCATACCACGACTTACGAGAGATGAGTGGAACCAAGCCTGCAAGCTTGCCAGGCTGTACGGAGGGTAGCCAATCATTTTAATGTTCATGTTAGGACAATCTACCGACTGCAGGAACGGTATCAGGCCACTAACAGCATCCAAGACCATCCACGAAGTGCACGACCTGCAGTAACATCACAACGTCAAGACCGACTAATTGTGCGCAATCATCTGCAGGATCGCTTCACCAGTGTCACGGAAACAGCTCGCCAGACCACTGGGACTCACAAGAGACCCTTAAGTGCCGATACTCTGCTGTCACAGACCATGTCGTGGTCCTGTCCTCACAGCTCGTTACCGCCCAAACTGACTGCAATGGGCAACTCAGCATCGAAATTAACGTTATCGAGAGTGAAGAACTGTGCTTTTTTCTGATGAAAGCCGATATTGTGTTTCGAGAACCGATGGCAGAGTGAGAGTATGGCGAAGGCATGCGAAACGGTTTTCCAATACGTGTATTGTTGAAAGAGACTTGTAGGGTGGTCGAAGCATCATGGTGTGGGGTGCAATCGATCTGAACAAGAGAGCTGGCCCCGTGCTGTTCCAGAATCACGGCCCAGGACGAAGAAATGGCGTGACAGCTGCTCGCTATACTGACCAAGTCATAAGACCCCACGTTGTACCACATTTTGAACGTCGCAGAAATCACATCTTCCTGCAAGACAACGCTCGTGCCCACACTGCCAGGGCAACACTGGATTTCCTAAGACAACACGACATCCAATCCCTTCAATGGCCTGCACTCTATCCGGATTTAAGTCCAATAGAACACCTTTGAGACGAGATTCAAAGAAAACTGAATGACCTTCAACCAAGGCCGGCAACTCCGGCTGGACTCGATCAGGCATTAAGCAGAGTACGGACCCAAGTGCCTATGGCCTTCAACAACCGGCTAATTCATTCCATGTACAGACCATGCAACGCCGTCATTGATGCCCATGGAGGCCAACACGATACTGACTTTGAGGTATCTTAGTGGGACCATTTTTTGTAAATTTGTTTGTGTGAACTCTACATGTGATTCCCGAACATGTGTTAACCATAATTGTCAAGATTCAACGCAATCCTCCGGTTTGATTGTTAATTAGAGCGAATTAAGGTGTGGTTTAAGAAACCTATATCGTTTCGCGTTTCTTTTGCGGTTCAATATAGTATTAATGGGAACAATTGCATTCCATGTTTTCCATTTTGGAAGGTTCAGTTTATGAACAATGAAAATAGCATTGGCTTCACGTACACCCTTCTTTGAAAGGCATTAAGAATTGGAATGTGTGAAAAGCAAGATTTGTGGATGTCAACTTCTTTATTGTGAATAACAAGACGTTTCTGAGTGTATGTGTGCTTTCATCACCTGATGAAGGACAAGCATACACTCCGAAACGTGTTATTCACAATAAAGAACTTGACATCCACAAATCTGGCTTTCACACACACACCCTTGTCTTAAAACGAATGCACAGTTAAAATAATCTGTTAAATGGTTATTGCATCGCACACACGATTTAGCTGAAGAATAGATGCCTTTTAATGCTTGCATAATACTTTTCCCACAGCTGTCAGGGCTCTATAAGAAATGCCAAAATATTATTCTGTCTACACAATTATAGGTTTTATAAAATCTACGGTATTCTTTTTTCCTTACTTTTAAAAACACTATTCAATGACTGGACTATTGCTGAGTGCGGCGTTAAACATGAACCAATGAATCAACTAAACCCTGCTTGATTTTCTGATATGTTGTTCATTATATTTGCCCATTGTGTTAAACGTTCATTCAATATACTGCATATAATGTACTTTATAATGACATGTCCATGTAAGTTTGAACGTTCCCCCTTTTTGTGTAAAAGAATAATAACGGCTCTTCTGCATGAATCGGAGAAACTGACACTATTCTAAAGATTGTTGGCGAAATGAGATTACGCACGCTCCGGTATTTTTAATGACAACTGTTAACATATTGTCAACTCCAGGTGATGCACCATTTTTTATCCGTTTTATAGCATTTTTAAATTTCTTCTTCGCTAATATGAGATTCCAATATTTCAACATCGCTCATTTCGATAGTTATAGAAAACTTCAATTCCGTTTCTTTTTCAGTAAAGTTAAGCTTAACCTAAATTGTTTGGACATGTTTACAACATGTTTCAGCTGAAAAATCAGCTGAATTTCAATCAGGATTATATATGTTTCTGTACTCCTCATAGAATAATTTAGAATTTCTTCTAGATGAGTACAGTTTTCTAGACGTATTTTGTTTATATTTTGCCTTTTCTACGTTTAAGAAGTTAACTTTGATGAGTTCATTCACATTTTAGTGGCAACATGTCTGTACTTACCAAGTGATCGTGTAATATTAGCGAGCAGTGCGTCCTTGTCCCGTAGAGCGGATTTCATTGTTTCTTGGTTTGATGCCATGGACCTCAGTTCTGTTGACAGATTTGCCACAGTTCGTTCCAGTTGAAGAATATGGGTGAACAAAGTGCCCACAACACAATTCTGTCCGTTGTCAGGTTCAGGCTTGTTGCTGGCACAGGCAGCAAGAACAAACAGCGCTGGCACAAGCAGTAAACGCATCATGATCATTGGTCATGGAAAGAATAGTACAACACCGAGCGGGACGTGTTATATAACCTCGTTTGAACGTGTGAGTGTGATATATATTTCAGGATAATTATCATTCGCCCGTTTTCCAAATGACGCACATCCTGTTTCATCGTTGTGTCATCTGTTTTTTATTATCGATTTTCATGATGCATTTAACCTCAAGCGCAAAGCTCCAATCACTGTATTTGTTATTAGTTTGTATGTATGTTTGTTTGTTTATTAATTTGCTTGTTTGTATGTTTGCTATTCTCTGTTTATTCATTTGTACGTTTTGGCTAGTAATCAGTCATTTTCTGTTTTAGCTCGTTGTTGGTCGACCAGAGGGAGAGTTGTCTTCAAACTGTCTATAAAATTCATTCATTTTAACTCTTTATTGGGCGGTGGGGTGTAGCCTAGGGGTTAAAGCATTCGCTCGTCACACAAAGACCAGGTTCGATTCCCCACATGGGTACAATGTGTGAAGCTCATTTCTGGTGTCCGCCGTCGTGATATTGCTGTAATATAGCTAAAAGTGGCGTAAAACTAAACTCACTCACTCTAACTCTTTTTAACTGTGGCATATGATGGCAAGCTTGCACATAAACATCATGTACCTATGATTGACACTCCTCTGCCAGCACTTCCATACTCAATTTTGTCTATTTCCATGATAAAGAGTAGGGTCGAAGTCGCCGGCAGGAAGCACGTCGAATTGTGAAAGATAACTCGAAAAATACAGGAAAATAGTATTTAAATACTGAGCTTAATAACAACCTAGAAATGGCAGACTTGTAATGGAATACATACAAATCTTGAAATAATATTCTAATTAGATGGGAACGATATTAATTTCTGAGGGCTGTGAGCAAGTATGTTTGGTGTTGGCATCGATGGTGTGGTAAGTACAACCACTGCAACTCAGACATTGTCTTTGAGTAATACTGCCGAGTTTACTGTGCAGTGAATTCATGCACAAGAGTTACCAAACTTGAATCTAATCCGTTAGCACTGACAATTTGCTTGAGACATGTTGCGCGTTCAGACACGTTCCTGGAGGTAGAATTATACCAACAATTTCTCCCTTGTTCACTGTACCATCTTTTATATACCATTTAAAGAAGTCGCCTTTTTAACATTTAAGAAGTGGTGAAGTGTCTGCAGGTTTAATCACCAGACTCCATGACGTATGACTTTTGACATTTAACTAAACGTCTTATCCACAAATATATCCCATATACATCAGGGATTTGGTGGTCAGGCTCACTGACTTAGTTAACACATGACATCGTATCCCCATTGCGTAGATCGATAGTCATGTTGTTGATCATTGGAGTGTCTGTTCCAGACTCGATTATTTACAGACTGCCGCCATATAGCTGGAATATTGCTGAATGCGGCGTTAAACAACAGCCAATCAATCAAGCAAAGCCTGCTTGATTTTCGGATATGTTGCATTGTTCATTATATTTGCCCATTGTGTTAAACGTTCATTCAATATACTGTTATATAATTTTAATCTTAATATGAAATACCCCCGTAATTATCTGAATTTTGAACGTTCTCCTTTTTGTGTAAAAGAATAATAATCACTTTTCTCGATGAATCGGAGAAACTGACACTATTCTAAAGATTGTTGACGAAATGACATCACGCACGCTCCGATGTTTTTATTACAACTGTTAAAATATTCTCCAGGTGATGTACCATTTTTTATTCGTTTTATAGCATTTCTTCTTCGCTAATATGAGACTCCAATATTTCAACATCGCTCATTTCGATAGATATATACTAAGCAGCAAAAGAAACGTCAGTTTGGAATTTTCCATCGCAGAAACGGATAACTGTAAACTTATTTAATGTTTTGATTGTATATTTTTGACACCATCTCCAACTTTACCTGAGCAAAGACATTCCTTCCCAAACTCAGAATGGAACCCAGGAAATGGTCTCAAAAACGCAACCTGATCTCGGAGATGGTACGGTGTTCTCCATGTTTTCCATGCAACTCATGGGGCGGACGGGTAGCCTAGTGGTTAAAGCGTTGGCTCGTCACTCTGAAGACCCGGGTTCGATTCCCCATATGGGTACAATGTGTGAAGCCCATTTCTGGTGTCCCCCGCCGTGATATTGCTGTAATATTGCTAAAAGCGGCGTAAAACTATATTCACTCACTCACTCACTCACTTCATGCAACTCATGCTGCACAAGGACCAGCCCTATAAAATGCACCCCCAAACCTGGTTTAAACATTCACATTACAACGTCAGCAGGATCCCGCGACTCACGACAGCTCAGAGGAACAAGGCGCTAGGAAGATTTGTAGCTGGCCACCAATCCGTTGCCAATCACTTCCAGGTCAACGTTCGGGCCATCTACAGGCTGCACCAACGTTTCCGGGCCAGCAACACCACAAATGATCGCCCCCGTACTGACAGACCAAGGGTGACCACAAGACGACAACACCGCCATGTTGTGCGATAGTATGTACAGAATCCCTTCATGCAGGCATCCGAAACAGCACGCCACACAGTGGGAACAACGGAAAACCAATCAGTACGCCGACGTTTTAACAGAGGGAACCTCCATTGCCGTAGACCTTACCGTGGACCTATCCTCACCCCTCGTCATCGGCGTGAACTTCTACAGTTAGCCCTACAACACCAAAACTGGCGATGCAGGCAACGGAGAACTGTTCTGTTCACAGATGAGAGTCGGTACTGCGTATCAACTGCAGATGGCAGAACAAGAATAGGGGGACGACGTTGCCAGCGTTACTCAGACCAATGCGTTATGGAAAGAGACTCATGGGAGGTGCAAGCATCATGGTATGGGGTGGAATAGGCCTGAACCAGAGAGTGGGTCCTATGGCGTTCCAGAACCTTGGTCCATGGAGAGGAGGCGGCATCACAGCGGTGCGCTACATCGACCAAGCTCTCAGACCCCACGTCATATCACATTTCACACGTCACGTCACCGGAACCCATACTGCCAGAGCTACACGGGACTTCCTACAGCAAAACGGTGTCAACATTATGCAGTGGCCAGCCCTAGTCCTGATTTAAACCCAAATGAACATCTTTGGGATGAAATTCAGAGGAGACTGAATAATGTCACACCAAGGCCGAACACAGCCGATTTATTGCGCCAGGCCTTTCTCAGGGTGTGGTTCCCGGTGCCAATGGCCTTCATCAATCGATTGGTGCACTCCATGCAAAAAAGCTGTGCTGCAGTTATTGCCGCTCGTGGTGGCCACACTAGATACTGAAGTCAAGAGTCTGAATGTACTGCAACGTTCACGTAATGTCTTGAAAATTGTGCTGAGTTATTCATTGATGTGTCAAGATATTGTACGCAAAAATGTTTTTGATCCGCTTATTATGTCCATTTCTGCAATGATTTGATTAAAGTGCCTATCTAATTTTGAATTCGTACTGACGTTGTTTTTGCTGCTGAGTATAGAAAACGTCAATTCAGTTTCTTTTTCAGTAAAGTTAGGCTTATCATAAATTGTTTGGAAATGTTTACAAGAAGTTTCATCAGAAAAATCAGCTGAATTTCTCTTGGGATTATATAATTATGTTTCTAAATAATAATTCCTTCCAGAATAATTTAGGATAAGTACAGCTTACGGCGTTAAACAACAACCATACCAAACCAAACCCAATTGGTAGGAGGCTGTACACGATATTTAGGTTCATAGGTAAATAGTTAAACAACAAACCAACCAATCAACTAGCCTTGTGGATTTGAAAATTGGCAATGTGTTAACCCAGACATTCAGTGTGAAACCAACCAACTACCCTGTATTACATAAACTAAGTTCCCAAATCAATATAAATTACTCACAGATGTTTCAATGACAGTGGCCAATAAAGTAACATTACACAATTCAACGACACAATGAAGCATAATAGAAGTGACAGAAAATCAGTAATAAAAATATTCACCCAGCAGCACAGGTGGTCAATTTTCACAGTAAGCCTGGCTGGATAAAAGTAACGTTCTTCACAATACTGTTGTATTGAGAGATGGAGAGACAAGTGTTTATCCACTTAGTTATAGGTTGTTTTTTTAAGATTCCAGATTACACCCCAAAACATCATAATATGTGGCTACCACTCCACCGATGCAGGTAAGTAATTAATTCCTTATAAGCAATTACTGCTGAAACACCGGGGTACCATGTTATAAACTTCTACTAAACTGAACAATCGTTGTCCATATTTCTAGACACTGGTTGATCTACTCCTGATGGCGACATTCTACAGACTGTTCATATGGCTGTAATGCAGCAGACTGCCTCATTGAAACTCATTCAGTATTCCAGTGAATTTGGCTCCATGCTTGTACAAATCTTAAATACTCACATGTACACTGACCTGCACTGAGGAACCAATATCCATAGAAACTGTAAATTCATTAAATAATACAATTCACTCATTAAATAATACAATTCAAACGGAAATGAAAGCGGTGAATGAGCTAGAAAACACCAAGAAAGGTAAGCAATAGAAGCAGGCTCACAGTTGGAATTGTTGGCTGTTAAGATATTTTTATGAGCATCTTCAGATACATGCACGACCTTATTCCTCCATATCACTTTCATATGCTTATTATGAAATGATGCTAAATCGAAATATCATTTAATCAACTAACGAACCTGTCAGTTTCAGCTCTGACGATAATAAACCGAAACATGAGTCTCATTAACCAATTCAGACAATGACCTACTTTTCAGCCGATCCGAAGTTTCTCGTGTGAAAGTGAAAAGAGACACTACAAACAACTATGGTTACACTGAATTCCAATTCCTTGTTTTATAAGATGGTATTTACGCATTAATGCTAAATTTAAAGTTTAAAAAAAATCATATTTCTATATATTAGGTCGAGGTTTAGGCGGCATGTAGTTAACTAGAACGTCACATACTGCCTCTGTTTGAAGAGGTTGTACAATGATTCACAATTCATCTGGCTAACTGGTTACACCTTTTATGTGTTCTTTGCGTTAATTAAGTGTATTTTTGTAACGTACAATGTGATTGATATAATATCAAGTCCGTACAAGACCGCCAAACTTTTCTAGCGGCCCAGCCTCGTTTTGAGATTTCCACGATTTCCAAATTTACGTTTGTCAGAGCACACTGTACGACAGAGCACGCTGCACGACGTGTTTGTAAGGATTAGAAGGAGCGTAGTGTTGCAATATACAAGTGATATAATATATATAGTTGAATGACTTCGTCTCAAAATTCTGGACTGGTTGCGCAATAGGACGGAACCCATTTAGCAGGAAACGCGACTGTTGCGTAATCAATGTTTTGACTTGATATGTTCAGTAATACGTCTGTTGAATGCTTCTTAAAATCTCTGGGTTTTTTTGCTAATTTCAAAGTTTGAAGTTCTATGACTATTGTAACTGGTGTAGTTTAGCATGGACTTCATGACGCCCATTTTAACAGATCACAAGGTCGAGCTCAGTCCCTATTCCCCTTGCCCCTCTGCAAAGCTTCCATAATGTATTCAGTTATTTATTGATTGGTCAGAGCTAATAGCTCTAAAATGTGGCACTGACTGTAGTACTCAGATATCTACTCCCAACCGTTGATAATTGGTTAAAAAATAGTTCCCTTGCCCTTTCAAAAGCATCCAGAATGTACTCTTGGTCAGTGACAGTAGCTCCAATAAAATGTTATTCGCTCTTACGCTGACATAGAATAAAGTAACGACATTAAACATACACCTTCTCACAAGCTATTGTTTTGGATAACCAGAATAAAAACAAAAACAAAAATTGAATTCAAATCAGTATTTAGATATTATTAACAATGTACAGAGTTCATCGAAACCCCGGACCCATTATTGGACACGAATGAGTGTTCCGCCATAACTTGAATATTCGTCTCCCCGGAGATCAATGGTGGAAGAAGTGACTTCAGCATCCATCCACACCTGGTCTCCTTGGCGCAAGTAGGTAGTAGTCGTGATGGAAGCTACACCATGTCTTTGGCCAGTGATATACCCACGACCAATAATCTTGCTTCCACTGAAAATGCGGATACCCATATAGGCAGTCGATTCTACCATCACATTTGCCCAGAAGACGTATGTGCCAGACACGGGGGCGGTGAAAATACCAGTGGCCTTGTTGTAAGCATCCCCTTGGTTGTACAAGACTGTGTCAAATGTAAGAGATTTTCCACCAATCTGTTGGATGTCTGACCGAAGAGACACGCTGTAGGCCACGTCAGTTGCTTGAGCCGCTGAAAAACAAAGTATTTATGCTATTTAACACATCCATTAGCTTATACTCGTATGTCATAACTCGTTTGTATTTCGTGCATGTTTTTTTGGATCTTAAATACTTTATGATGGCTTCGGTCATTTTATGTCAGCTCCATTGCCGTGAAGAGCAGCATTTTATTAATGAGACTCGGTTACATCAAGAAGTCGTGTGTGTAAGATGGCCGTGGCATAATGGCCGCCAGGAAAGGGGAAAATTGAGTATTCACTACGTCAGTTAAAACGGAAAGTAGTGCTGGTCTGTTGAGTAAATAATCTAATCAATCGATGCGACATTGTTTTGTCATTTACAATACGTACAGTTTCAACTTCCTGAACCCTGATTCCTGATCCTAAATTCAAATCTAACTTTACAGCTAAAACATACTGCACAAAGTCATTTGAAGACCTGTCATGTCAAACTAAAAACGTCATATGTGGCATTGAATGTATCCTTTGTGGATTGAATTATGTTGGAGAGACACAACAGAAACTATCGACATGAGTCGGCCAGCATAGATCCGGCATCAATAGAAATGTTTCCATATGTGTCTACCAACATTTTAATTCTGAAAATCACTCCATCTTGTGTATGAAAATTAGGATATGTAAACCATCCTTTGCATCGACCACAATACTCGGTTGCGTGAGATAGGTAGCACTTATATTATCACTTTTAGAATAAAAAACTCCCGGTTTGTACATATTTGAATTGTTATATATTTTAGTATACATACCTACTTTTCAATATGTACGTTACGCTTCCGGGAATCACGAGCGGCAAGTCCGTTCAACTGCTGCACGTGATCGATAACACGTCAGGTCAGCTCGAAGTCGCGCTCTGCGATATCACCTACTACCCGCAATGGACCAACATCAACGTCAAAAACAACAGGCTGTTCGTCAATAACGCCCGCAACCAAATAACGGACAGCTACTACAGCGTGTGCTCACTCAACGAAGAAGTCTTCAAACCCGTGGGAGCGAAACTAAAAATGAACGACTCAAACGGCACGGTCATGTTAGCCAACAACGGAAAAAACGACTTGAGACTCAGTCGGCCGTATTGGCTAAAACGCTCAGGTTTACTTCAAACGACATACCACCGGAAACCACCGTGACAGGCACCAAATTACCCCGATCTCGTCCCGTATCCCGAACTGTGCACTCATCTCGATCAGCTGAGCACGACCGACACACAGGCCCCCACTGCGGGTCAGAAAATAGATAAACTAAGCCCTGGTTTACTATCCAGCCCCCCTACTATATAACATGTAAAGGTTCATCACAGAAATACGGTGACATGATCGAAAACCGGACAATTACGCACACATCAACCGATATATCGTATTTTCAAGGTCTCACAAATATCAAAAGCTTTTGTCCATATCTCTGATGTGTGTAGGAGGCATATACACATGCTTCCCGTGTTCGTTTTTATCAAATCGCCAAAGACCGAGCTGCTGTGCCGGAAGTATACAAAACTAGGCCGCTGTACAAGCCGAGCCGAGCCACACACTGCGACTCGCCCACAGCACTCGCTCGGTGATACCGAGACGACGACCCGGGGAGGAAACTGCCCAGAGATGTGTTTCATTCACTTTCAGACATCTGTAGCCTCGCTAGTCAGACGGCCGTGCATCATCATCACAGCCGAGCCAAGAGACACACACACTTATACTCGTCCACGGCGCTCGCTCAAAGAAACCCCCGAGACGGTAGCTAGGTGACGACTTCCGAGACCTGCGTTTCATTCGGCTAAAAACACCTCTCGCCTCGATAATATATAACAAGTACGACAATACGTTGGATTGTTAGCCTTTCGCCAGACCAACCCCATGCTCACTAAAAAGTGATTATTTACTCAACTATTTGACCGATTTTCTTGAAATTTTGCATGCATCTCGGCAGATGGTTACGCTATAGCAAAACGGCATTGGGAACACTCTCGTTGACTTCATTAGATTAATAAAGACTTAATTACGACATTTTGCCTTTTCCCGACCGACCTCATGCTCACTTAAAAGTCAATATTTCAGAAACTATTCGACTGATTTTCATCAAATTTTGCAAGGCTTGATTTTTAATTAAGCCTTGGATAAGGACCTGGTCCCGTACCCCCATTGTGTATACTACTATCGGACATATAGACGTTTCTTCAAAAACAAATTCATGACGCCTTAAAATTACACCTACGAAGCCGTAACTATGACATCTTATAGTAGGGCCTTGGTGTAAAAAATCCCCCTCACTGAAAACCAAAATAAACTTAATAAATAAACAAGAAGACAAAGTCATCAATATCCCCAGCAATAGTAAAATACTATTCATGAATATGTCAACTAGTTATGATTATGTCAACTGTTACATTGTTCTTGACATTGATCTAACGAAGGATACATACGTAAAATATTTATATACTAGCATGCTTGTATCAACTACGGACTGCTTCCACGGTTTATTGTACCTCAATAATGTTGATTTATGGGGCTGTGCAATATTTAAATATAGGGATTTATGTCATAAGGTTCTTGAATACCACAATGTGGAAGGAGAGTATTAAAAGGTTTAAAGTTCTGCTCCGGAAAAGAGCACTACCGCCAATTTCAGTCGAAGCCATGGTAACGCAAAACATATTTTATTAAGAAATCCAAAACTACCAATGACACCCGTTCACCACCAGACGTATCTATGTTCCAAGTTTGGTAAAGAAACCTCGGACGGTGTTTAAGTTCTGCTCTGGAAAAGTGCACTACCACAAATTTCAGTCGAAGAAAACTAGGCCATGGAAAGGCAAAAATAAGTTCACTACCAGACCTATCTATGTTCCAAGTTTGGTGAAGTAATATTGAATGGTTTATATGTTCAGCTCCGGAAAAGATGAATTTGCACGGACTGACGGACTGAGTCCAAAATAATACCCCCCGCAAAACGCGTTGCAGGGGATAATACAAAAACTACCAAAACCCGACAAAAACATCCACTCGTTTCAAAGTAAATGTTGATGTGCATGGAAAAGCAAATAAATACGTTACGGTATTGTTTTCTTCTCTGACATTGATCCTCTTTACACATTATACAACAATTCATAATGTAACATCTCTATGCGGTTTTTCCACAGCACATATGGTTGTCATCATTCCCTCGTCATCAGCATAGGACTACTAATTAAAAAAGATATACATCAGTCTTTTAACAATGTTTTCACGATCAACGGTATGGTAGGCGGCGCGTTGATGTTGCCACTAACCATGCATGTAGCATACGTAAATGACAATCATGTTATTTCATGTTGCATATCAAGGGACCTGTTCAGATGTCATATGTCATGTGTCTGTATCCAGTGTATCCACCAACAACGAGAATGTCTTCACAAAATATATAAAATAGGAATTCGCCAATACTAGTATTTGTGGTGAGGAAATCTTCCAAAATTGTAAAGTAAATACCAAAATTCAAATTCTAAACTAAAAAATCTTGTCCAAAACCCACTCAATTTATTTTTTTAAATACCATAAATCTAATCATTTTGACAGGGCGATAACCAAATTACAGGTCATACAAAATTAAGTTCCAATCTACATAAAATGAAAACACATACAAATGCACTCACTGCAACGAAACAGAAACGCCCAAACACGTCATACCCTACCAACACTGCACTGCATACACTGCCAACAGCACGGAAAGGTGCACTAGAGTTCACTGGACCCAAACACTTCCAAGTCCACTAAATAACACCCAAGGTTCGAAGCCTTAGGTATATTTCTTATCAAAGCCTGCCTTAAGTTCGCATTTAATCCCATATAACCAACATGTGCTAACTTAAAAAATATAAAAACAAAACATAAAATTAAACAAAACAAGGGAGAGGCATTAACATAGGTAATTTTGCCTGTTTGCCAATCCCCCAAAAGCCTGTCATGTGTAAATTTATACACATATGTCATCAGAGGAAAATAAATATTGTTTAAACCAACAAAACAAGTACCAACCAAACCATCATGTAGTTAATCCCCAAACACTAACAAATTTCAGAATTCAGAATTCATACAAATTTCAATTATGCAACCCTGACGTTATTCGTCAAATTCAACTGAAACTTGTTACACGCATGGTACACGCGTGTGTGTCTCGTTGTCTCGTGTGACACGGGACTCAAACGCGCTGCACATCCGTGTCATATGCTTCTTACACGCCTTCTGGGGCGGTGGGGTAGCCTAGTGGTTAAAGCGTTGGCTCATCACGCCGAAGACCCGGGTTCGAATCCCCACATCGGTACAATGTGTAAAGCCCATTTCTGGTGTTACCTGCCTTGATATTGCTGTAATATTGCTCAAAGATCACATATACTCTAGGGGGGTACAAATACATAAAACGCTAACTGGCATCGCTATAAATGAAACCCCGTCATTAAAACTACTCACCTCGGTCTTTAACTAACTTAAATCGACCTTTTGGACAACAGTGCACAATTCTCACCCGCGAACGAAATTTCAACCAATCAGAGCGGGGCGTCTCTGTGGCGTCATATGAGGAATAGATATGAGGGCCGATGCAGCATTCATCTACATTTCAGGGGGTAAATTATCTTGTTTACAGGTTTGTATAAACCTGAAATCGTGACAACCGTAGTGGAAAATGAAAGCTATATGTTCTCACAATCTACTGTCATTTAATTTTGTCTCCTGCTTTGCCTAGTTTCCGAGTTACAACTTGTTTTACGATTCTGTCAAAATCGCTTGGTGTCGTTGGGCCTTATTTGTATAATGACTGATCCAAATTGATCCCATTTCTATGTTTTTTTACCTCGATATTTAATCATGTCATGCAAAAAATCTGTTTGTATTCTCAAAACAGTGTCGGCCCATAAGGTTTTCACATGCAATACAGCAATTAATACTCCCTTGTTGTAACCCGTGTTAGGTGGTATAAACCTACACATGTTATTTGTCATCATTCACTTGATGGTCAGTTAATGAATTTATAACAGGTATAATTAGTGGTACCACACTTAGATGACCCGACAAAGGTTCCCATTTGGCATTTCTTGTGTCTGGAGTAAATATTCAACATTATAAACATCGATCAAAGGATTAACCGATAACACGCTGATTGATTAATTACTTTTATCTTACACAGCGGATTTGTCAAAAGTAGTGTTTATGTATGTAGATTTACTAATCTATATTGAATACACTCTGTCGTGTCGGTGTCTGCGTAAAAACAACGTCCTTCTTTCAAAGGATTAACCGGCAATACATTGATTGATTGCCCATTATTGGCTAACTAAATTACTGTTTTTAAAGAAAGGCGGACATTATGCAATTAGTTGCCAGGTGTGCTATCTTGGGTGACCAATGAGACTATACACCAATGTGAAATACCTGAAAAGATATATCACTTTTTCGTATATTAAACTGTTAAAAGACACATCACTTGGAACAGCTGCAGATGAGTGGCATATCACTCGTTTTTGTGGATATTGATGGATACATTCCTCGAATAAGGTAATAGCCTGACATTGTTCCTATAACTTTAATCTGTTTTAATTTTAATATTTGCATTTTGTTTTTATTCATTTGTCGTAGCACTCAACAGAATGATTGTTTTCGCCGTGAAGTGTAATGAAACAGACAACATACACTAGGGCGTGTGTGCGAATTATGATTCACATTGGCAAACTATAAAATGTCTAGATATAACAGTTCTGTTATAAATTCACAATAAGTATCAGCAGATCGTCTGCTTTTCATTAAATTTCAAAATGCATACAACTATGATAATAAACTAATTAGGATTATAAGACCAAACATATAGACGTACATTGACTAGTATCTACATACTGGTGAGTGCACGTTAACCACGTGAATGTACCAAGACATTTATCACGCAGTATTGTGACTTCGACCCCCACCTCGCTTCCGTGGAAGAAATCGTTATGTTATAAGTTGTGTCATGCAAAATCCTTTTGGTTATGATTCCAATACATATTTAACTACGAGTAGAAAGTAGTTTTGATTTTCTAACTTGATGAAAACAAACCATAATCTCATTAATTCTAACAGACTTTAGCCCGTCACTTTACGATTTTCAAAAATGGCGGCGCCCTGTTGCGAACATCCGCCAGTCTGAGGATAAATGCTATTTAGGTTTGTTTTCACCGAGTTACAAAATCAAAACTACTTTCTACTGGTAGTAAAATATATGTATTTGATTGATGGCCAATAGGATTTTGCATGACATAGCTTATAACATAACAATTTCTCTCTCGTTGCAGCGAGGTGGGTGTCAATATAATACTACTTACAATATTATTGTTACTTCGACCACAACCTCGCTTCCGAGGAAGAAATCGTTATGTTACAAGTTGTGTCATGGAAAATCTTTATGGTCATCAATCATATACATATTTTACTACAACTAGTAAGTAGTTTTGATTCTTTCATTTCCGTGAAGCGATCTGAACACAAGTAAGATATCGTTTCAGGCTTCCACAACGCTCGCTTCGCACTCACAAATTAAACATCACCCATTTTGCACGAACTGCGGGGTCCTGTGGAAATCTGTGCATGGTGACACCATCGCCCGACCCCTAGGAGCAATTGACGACAAAGCAACGAATCGGCATGTCGTCGTTGATGTCGAGAAATCATCAAAATTGATGAGCGTGCTACACACTTTCTATGCAACTAACTGAAAATCGTTCCTCATATGACGTCACTGCAGTGCTCTGGCGACAGAGTTACGTAACCTGTCTGTGGTTTCGTTGGCGGGCGAGAGTGAAGCAGGCGACTTTTTGGCAAGTTTTAATCGCTCGGTATTAATTAACCACAAGTTTTTTAAGAATGAATTTGCTGTTCCGCATAAGTCTAACCGCAAATCTTTCATATGTAATAGTTAAAAGAGTACCCAAAAAAAGTTTATTTGTTCTTTAAGCGCCGTAAAACCATACTCACTCACACACTCAATCAATTCTAAGGGTCCACATTTCTGTACTTACCAAGTGATAGTGAAATATTAGCGAGCAGAGTGGATTTCAATATTTCTTGGTTTGTTGCCATGGTCTTCAGTTCTGTTGACAGACGAGCCACTGTTCGTTCCAGTTGAAGAATGTGGGTGAACAAAGTGCCCACAACACAACTCTGTCCGTTGTCCAATTCAGGCTTGTTGCTGGTACAGGCAGCAAGAACAAACAGCGCCGACACAAACAGTAAACGCATCATGGTCACTCGTCTTGGAAAGTACACAGGACACAGCCGAACGTGTTTTATAACTTAGTTTGAAAGTGCCAGTGTTAATTATTCGTCCGTTTTCACAATGACGTGCATCCGCTTTTATTTGTCTCTTCCTGTTTACAGTTGAGAAGTCACTTGAAATATATTTATGCAGTGTGTGTTTTCAAAATGTGCTTTTGTGACATAATTACCCTGACTTGCCTTGCCAAGGTCCAAAGGAAACCACCAATTGCTAATTTCAGATTTCAAAGTGAGATAAGCAAGCACTTACAGAACTCCCCTATCCCTGTTTCAAAGATACAGATTACAAGTTTGATCAATGACTCATATAAGGAGTGTTGTTTTGTGGCAGTATTATTCATCGTGTATCAGTGTTTGTGTTGACATTCAGTAGGGTGAGTGAGTGAGAGTGAGTTTAGTTTTACGCCGCACTCAGCAATATTCCAGCTATATGGCGGCTGTCTGTAAATAATAGAGTTTGGACCAGGCAATCCAGTGATCAACAGCATGAGGATCGATCTACGCAATTGGGAACCAATGACATGTGTCAACCAAGTCGCCTCTTACGACAAGCATGGGTTGCTAAAGACATATTCAAACCGGGGTATTTACGGGTCATATAGTATGACCAGAAATTATTGAGAATTTTAGTAATATGTTTAATTGGATGTCTAGTATAAACAACCTTGACCAGCTATCAAGTGCTTGGTTTCATTCAAGAGAGACAACTCCGTTAATTATTTTTCATTAGTTTGTGAAGAGTTATCCCCCTTTGTTTACTTGCTAGCAGACGACATTTCCAGTGATCCTCAGTATGGATGATTTAGAGAAGAGGAAGTTGATTTTACAGTATTATGACAAGGACATCAGATCAGCTAAAGTGATTTCAAGTAGAACAGGCATCCCTTTGTCCACTGTTTATCGTGTTTTAAAAATATTGCAAATGGATATGACTTTGAGCACCAGGGAGGCGCAGGTAGGCCCAGAAAATTGACTGTCGGTGACAGGAGGCGGCTTGGTATTCTTGTTTCTAAAAACAAACAAAGGAGTTTAGAAAACTTAAGGCTGGAGATGATTGATAGAGGAACTGTGGCTGTCTGTAAGGAGACAATTAGAACTGAGCTGCATGCAATGGTTTGGCAGAAAAGTCGAGGAATTCCATCACCGATCATGAAACCTAAACAAAAGGAACGAAGGTTGAATTGGTGCTTACAGCATAGAAATTCTAACTGGGATAATGTGATTTTCTCAGATGAAAGTTCTGTGTGGCTGTTTCCTAACACACTGAAATTCTGGACCAAACAAACTGAAAAACCCTTGTATCAGCGCCCAAAATACAGTTCGAAATTTAACGTGTGGGGTGGCATATCTGTGTTAGGGGCAACGCCCCTCTGTGTATTGGAAGGGAATATGAACAGTGAGCGGTACACATATATTCTCGAGGGACATTTACTTCCATCTGCTCACGTGTTCTATGGATTTTCCAGCAGGACAACGACCCAAAACATCGTTCAAAGCATTCACAGGCCTTGTTTCGGACCCAAAATATGACATTATTAGATTGGCCAAGCTATAGCCCTGACCTAAATCCAATAGAAAATGTTTGGGGACTTATGAAGGAAAGTGGCAATAAGAAAGATCTGACAAATATTGCTGAAATGAAAGCAGAGGCGGTCCGATATTGGCACAGCATGGACCACGACTTTCTAACTTCTTTGATCAGTAGTATGCCCCGCCGCATTGAAGCCTGCATTGCTGCCCATGGTGACTTGACAAAATACTAACTGTTCACCTGTCTTTGAATCTGGAGTAATGTTCTGCTAATATTCACATTAATACGTGAGTAATGAGTGAAAACACTAAAAAAATTACAATCTTTAAATTCTCAATAATTTCTGGTTGTACTTGTATATGGCACGGAGCATATAACGTAGGGATTAATATTCATGTATTTACGTTGATAAAGGAAATAATTATAAAACGTCGCTACGCTTTATCTAGTTTCAAGATGTCAGAATATGTTTATCAGGGTTGCAAACAAACAAATATTTTGGCAGCGAATGCAAATGAGAAAGAGAGTACCAAACAGGGAAACAACTCCTGTGCGACTGGAGTACAGGTACTGATGGAAGTACCATAAAATCGTCCATCGACGGTAAAAGCTGCCTCGTGGAGATGTTTTCTGACATTCGAATAAAGAGTAATATAGCAGCGTTGGCTCATCATTACAGCTGACTTACACTTGTGGAATAACATGGTAAAGAGGTAAAATACATCATGTACTGAAATCTTGTGCATAAAACTACGTTTCGGAAACTCTGTTTTTAAACGTGTATCCGAGTGGTTAAACCACGCGAACAATGACCAGATTTCGCACATCGAACGCAAAAATGGGTCTAATGTCTAGGTCAAGTTACGATCTAAGGGAAATAACTCTGCGACACTTTCATTTGGCCTGTTGACTACGTTTAGTTGGTATCAAAGCAGCATAAGTCGTTTCTCATCTTAGCAACCTCTGGGTTCCCTGTTCCAGGCTCCACTACGTACATGTATATACATTTCCATTTTCCTGACTCGGCATATCACAGCATTCAACCAAACACTGAGTTACCTTATATATGTTACGAGTGTTCAAGGGTTATATTTCAATGCAATGGCCTCGTAACACTCTGCCAGGTATACACGATACGAGTTCCTTTTCGGAAGAAAATGTCTTGCTCATCCTATCAACCTCTGGGTTCCCTGTTCCAGACTCCACTGACCCGTGAAGGTCCGGGATAGAATTGTCGTACGAGGTGGTTAGGCTCTCTGACTTGGTTGACACATGTCATCGGTTCCCAATTGTGCAGATCGATGCTCATGCTGTTGATCACTGAATTGTCTGGTCCAGACTCGATTATTTGCAGACCGTCACATACCCGGAATATTGCTGTGTGCGGCGTAAAAACTAAACTCACTCACTCTCTCACACACTCCAGACTCCACTACGCATATGCCTTACATCTGACTGCGGCATATCACAACATTCAAGCAATCACTGATATATGCCCCATATGTTCAAGGGTTATATTTCAGTACAATGTCCTTATAACACTCTGCTAGGTATACACGATAACAAATTTCTTTTTTGGAAGAATGTGTCAAAACACCAGATGACATACAGCCTTTAATAGGGACAGGCGATCTTGCTCGAGGGAAGATAGACATTTGAAACAAATTATGTGTCTGCCGTCAGCTCAGCTATCTCAGACATACATAATCAAACACAAGCTGTCATATTGGCGCTTGGTAACATCGTATTACGTCATCCCACATTTGTTTCCATGACAACGTCACATCTATATTCAGAGGGCCAAAGATTAGTCGTTTAGTTCATCATCAAGTGGTGGATGTCTTCCTAAACAGAGGTCGGAGGTTAGAATAACGTCATTGTGATGTGCAAGGCATTTCTTAGTGCAGGTTCGTTTCAATTCGGAACATGTGCACCATAGTCACATACAAAATATGACGCGCTTCCAATATTTTCTGTCATATAGAAGCAATCGCACATTTGGAATTATGGGCTGTTGAGAGATGTTTTATGAATGTAAGCATCTCACAATCACTGCCATATTCCTCTATATTACTTTGAAATACCTATCACATAATTGGTTACATCGTTCGCTCGTCACGCCGAAAAGCCGGGTGCGATTCCCCACATGGGTACAATGTATGAAGCTCATATCTGGTGTCCCCCGTCGTGATATTCCTGGAATACTGTTAATAGCTGTGTAACAACTCAAAATTTACTCATGTATTACGATATGATGTTCAAATCGAAATATTTTTAATTAACTCACGTGGTTCCAGGTTCAGTTTGTACAGTATCATATGTTCGGTAAAATTTCTGTTTTATGTTTCTTAAAACCTCTGTTTTCAACTGATGGCAAAGTTTCAAGTCCTACGACTGTCGTAACTGATGCCTTTTAGTGTGGGCTTTGGACAGTAATGGCGCTCATGTTACCAGATACCAAGGCTGAGCTCAAACCCAAAGATTCCATTATGTATTCGATGATTCAGTGATTCGTCATTGATAATGGCTCTAAACTGCGTCACTGTCGGGGATACTAACTTTAATTATATACCCATACCCTTGATAATAGCTGCAAAAATGTTCCCCTTGCCCTTCGAAAAGCTTCCATAATGTGCCCTTGGTCAGTGAAAGTAGTCCGCATAATGTGTTACTGCTGTGATGATTGGTTCAACTCGCTTCGTGATGATTGGTCAGTCCGCATAATGTGTTACTCGCTGTGACGATTTCTGTGTGTCCCCTTGCCCTTCGGAAAGCTTCCATAATGTGCCCTTGGTCAGTGAAAGTAGTCCGCATAATGTGTTACTCGCTGTGATGATTGGTTCAACTGTGTTCCCCTTGCCCTTCGGAAAGCTTCCATAATGTGTCCTTTGTCAGTGAAAGTTGTTCGCATAATGTGTTACTCGCTGTGATGATTGGTTCAACTGTGTTCCCCTTGCCCTTCGGAAAGCTTCCATAATGTACCATTGGTCAGTGAAAGTAGTCCGCATTATGTGTTACTCGCTGTGATGATTGGTTCAACTGTGTTCCCCTTGCCCTTCGGAAGAGCTTCCATAATGTACCATTGGTCAGTGAAAGTAGTCCGCATTATGTGTTACTCGCTGTGATGATTGGTTCAACTGTGTTCCCCTTGCCCTTCGGAAAGCTTCCATAATGTACCATTGGTCAGTGAAAGTAGTCCGCATGATGTGTTACTGGCCACTGTGATGATTGGTTCAACTGTGTTCCCCTGGCCCTTCGCCAAGCTTCTATAATGTACCATTGGTCAGTGAAAGTAGTCCGCATTATGTGTTACTCGCTGTGATGATTGGTTCAACTGTGTTAACCCCTTGCCCTTCGCAAAGCTTCCATAATGATAGTAACTCCAGTAATGTATTGGTCAGTGAAAGTTGTTCGCATTGGTTGTCCAGTGATATACCACTGGCTGTGATGATTGGTTCAACTGTGTTCCCAGTGATGCCCTTCGGAAAGCTATACCACTCCATAATGTACCATTGGTCAGTATGAAAGTAGTCCGCATTATGTGTTACTCCAGTAATGTACGCTGTGATGATTGGTTCAACTGTGTTCCCCTTGCCCTTCGGAAAGCTTCCATAATGTATCTTTGGTCAGTTACAATGGCTCACATAACTTGTTACTGTGAAAGAAGCTGTAAAGATATACAAACTGACTGTGATGGTGGTTCAATATTGTGCCCCTTGTCTATGGAAGAACTTGATTAATGTATCCTTGCTTAGTGACAGTAGCTCAAATAAAGGTTCACCGACTGTGATTGTAGATGCTATAATGTATCGCCGGTAGTGATGACAGATCCAATAATTTACCACTGGCTCTAATGGAAGATCCAGTGATGGAAGACCACTGGCTGTGATCCAGAAATCCTCTGTACCCTCTGGTTGTTATGGAAGATCCAGTGATATACCACTGGCTGTGATAGTAACTCCAGTAATGTACCTCTGGATGTTATGGAAGATCCAGTGATATACCACTGGCTGTGATAGTAACTCCAGTAATGTACCTCTGGTTGTTATGGAAGATCCAGTGATGTACCACTGGCTGTGATGGTAACTCCAGTAATGTACCATGTTATCTGTACCACTGTACCACTGGCTAATGAAAGGTCCAGTGATGTACCACTGGCTGTGATAGAAATCCAATAATTTATCATTGACTGTGATGGAAAATCCAGTGATGTACCACTGGCTGTGATGAACGATCCAATCATGTACCACTGACTGTTATGAACGATCCAATCATGTACCACTGACTGTTATGAACGATCCAATCATGTACCACTGGCTGTGATGAACGATCCAATCATGTACCACTGACTGTTATGAACGATCCAATCATGTACCACTGACTGTTATAAACGATCCAATCATGTACCACTGGCTGTGATGAACGATCCAATCATGTACCACTGACTGTTATGAATGATCCAATCATGTACCACTGGACTGTTATGAACGATCCAATCATGTACCACTGGCTGTCATGAACGATCCAATCATGTACCACTGACTGTTATGAACGATCCAATCATGTACCACTGACTGTTATAAACGATCCAATCATGTACCACTGACTGTGATGAACGATCCAATCACAAACCACTGACTGTGATAAACGATACAATCATGTACCACTGGCTGTTATGAACGATCCAATCGTGTACTACTACCTGTGATGACAGATCCAATTATGTGCCACTGACTATGATGGTAGACCTAATCATGTATCACTGATTGTGATGATAGATGATAACATTTCCTCACGTACCACTGACTGTGATGGTAAATCTCATAATGTACCCTTAGCCAGGGAGTACATTGCTGGTTTATCTGGAAAATAGTTTTTTAACATCATTGGATGTTCCATATCATTGTCGGTACTTAGCAATACAGGCAATATGATTTGTCCAACGGCTGTTCAAATTATTTTATGTTCAATGTTAAACTAATGATAGCTTATATTTCGATAAACAAACGCATGTTTCATCAATAGCTGAACGACCATGCCTGTTTTCACATCACATTGGTGAATAATGAGCTTACACTCACAGGCTCTCTACAGGAAGATGAACATGCACAATTACTCCCAAAGCAATTTACATTCAGGTATTCCACATATATACCATTATTTGTATTATCATTTCAAAGCCCCTCAGCCAGACTAGGCACAACAACTGACGTAAATAAACGTAGAGACCTAAAACAATTAACCTAAAGTTAACCAAAGTTCATTTCTGAACTTTCCCTACTTGTATTAAGGAAATTTGTTTTCGGGGAATGAGCTTCTGTTGTAGATTCACTGACACTGTGTTTCAAAGGTTATATGATGCTATAAATGCATTCCTTTTCAACTGAGGGAAATATATTCATTCTGCTAGTTATCGTAGACTCTGTGAAGGGCTTGAAGCCGAGGGGTTGGCGCGGGGTGCTGATTCAGTTCCCAGGACAGTCACTACTTAACATTTACTATTTCTTTTATCGTCCTGAACGTTGTAACGTACAAAACAACTTATTTTCAGCATATCGATTTTACCATTTTCCAGTCTAGCAGCTAATTATTGAGGTGAAGACTGCATATCAATCACTAAAACAATATATGTTCAGCTACTGTTTGACGACTGCAGGAGATTGGATTGGAGTAACGATCTTAACTAATGTATTCTTAGGTCAAAGGTGCATTCTGCAAGACTGGCTTTTGGAGTTGTTTTATATCCCCCTGTACATGGTCACGTGACGAATACGTCCGCGGTCAGCAGGATATGATCTGTCTGGCTCTGATGCATCAGACGCTCCCCTGACACTATCTACATTGGCTGAGTGAGTGAATGGTATTAAAATATCTCTTGATGCATATATAGTATGTAAATAAGCGAGTCATGGGCAGGCAAGCTTGTGGTTGATAATTAGAGCACCGATCTCTGTCAATAACGTTGACACACCAACATTTATATGTACCTCACTGGGGTCGCCACACTCACTCTATCGCACACTCCACTTGCAAACTAAAAGAAATCCATAGTTTACATGAATGATACGCCATTGAAAATAGAACACAATGAGTAAGTAAAGCTATACTTCGCTTTTAACACATTCATCACCGAGTAGGCCAAAATATCGGATTGCTGAGCAAACATATTTAAGGAATTTAACCGAATTGCCAGTGTGACAGAGAGCTCAACTCGGGAAACGGACTCATTCCGTCAGGACTGATTTCGATATAAGCCGAGCATCGTTTCCGGTTTATTCAACTAAGCACCTTAATCGACTCTAAGAAAATGAACAACCATTAGATTAATATCCACGTTAAACAGAGACTCTAAAATATCTATAGTTCATGTTCTGAATGTAAATGAAAACACGTAATGTAACATTGTAGACCATAATATAGATTTGGTTTATCTATTGTAATATTGAAAATATCATTAAATGGCTGCTCCACTGTAGCAAATGTTGTATGTTATGCTTCATCTACAGTTATCCAGATGAGATTGATGGTATGGACGGGACCGGGGGATATTGCTTGCTCCTGCTTGGAATCGAAGGAATGAGGTTCCCTCGAGTCTGTTCCAAGCTTGTGGCTCTTGTAGATTTGTGCAGCGACAGTCGTAGACTGATATCGATCTGTGATACGGGCCCGGGTCATGCAGGTTTCGATTCAGATGGGCCAGACACTCAATCCTTTCCATTTCCAATTTTCTCTATTTTAGTCATTCGGCTGGAACATCTTGTGCGACATTGATAAAGGCATCTGAAGTGAAAAGAATCACACGGATTCCTGTGTTGGAGCTGATAAATCCGAGTGAAATATTTACTTAATCGGTTAAAAGAATGTCGGCATGCCCTAAGCGATGGAAGACAGTCCAACATTTCATTGATCACATTCTTTCTTATCGTAGATCTTCAGACTGTGAAACAGAAACTCATTATACAAAGAATAGTGAGCATTTGTCCTCATATAAAATCTTCTCTTTCAATTCATTTGATATTTGAAAATCAATCGTGATGTGATGATGTGCGCTGAATGCCCAAACAAATTTAAAATACGAACAAAACACAGTCAAGACCAGCTTGCCCAGGGATCATTGAAGAGGTCATCTGAATTTGAAAAAGTGAAATTAATTCAATATTTATTCCAATTCATGACATATTTCAAATCGAAATAAGTGGTTACGACATTTCCTTAACAAATGGCTATACTGGAGGTGATTCCATTTATCTGTTGATATACTCCCTAGAAATGGATCCGCTTTCATCACATAAGTAATGACTCGTTACACATATAGAAACAACAATAACTTGTAATGCAATTATTTTCAGCTTCCATTGCAACTATTGATGTTTTCGTTATATTATATGATGTTTATAAACAAAGCCTCCATCAGCTGGGCGTCAACAAAAACCGCTCTGATATATAATTGTAAGTAAAATGTCACGGGGAATTAGCGCCAGTTGCCGCCAGTCCTGTTCCTCTCAATGACCTTGGTATTTGCATAATTGGAGCGTCCTGAATACCACAGACATTTTCTCGGATTTAGAAACAGTAACAACCCACGTGAAGTGTTCGTGTCTTAAAATGCTTAGACGTTCCTTAGTCTCTACTCACTAAAACATTAAGTTTAAAACTTTACAAACTACATGACGTCATATGTCAGTGGAAGCGGTGAACCACGTCAGTCATGTCACGTGATCAAAGAGTCGTCTGCTACACAGATCAAAATGGCGGCAGAGCGGTGGTGAAGAGTGTGGAGCGACACGGAGCAGCTTGCAAATTAGGATCCCGTTGTCTTATTTTTGGCATATCTTTTCCTGGCTTTGCTTGGCTCGTGTCGGGTTTCCGAGTGTAGTTGCATCTCGCAAGCGATGCATGTGGGTCTTGACAATGCACAAGCATCTGAAGTGAGGAATCGGAGTGAAATGGAGTTAAGGATGTATATAACGGACTCTCCGTCACCTGAATAGCAATTACTGGTCTTTTACACCAGTGGTGCCGATTTCCTCTTCTTGATTGTTTAATCAATGATGCATGTGAGACTCGTTCCAAACGTGAGTATATGGGTGCAGTGTTGTCGGAATCATCTCTTCCCTGTTTCCGGATTACAGCTTCCCAGACCTTTTTCATTAAGCAACAACTATACATGACTTTGGGACGCGGCTTAACAGATGTACGATGTTTTATGTTCTAACTACATGTAACAATTTGTATTCTTCACGCAATGAAGAATATATCAACCACTTAACATACGTTTCAAGGTTTTGGACTCCTGGACCGTTTTGAATATTCAAATGATGTGAGATGTAATTCTAATCATTACCGATTCAGTCGTTGAACATTGTGGGGGATATTTCTTCAATGTTTCAAAGCTGCATATAAAGTGTAAATCTATTTGAGTTACTGTGACTTGAGGATCAATCGTTGGAGCTGATCGGCATATGTCAGTTGCTTGAGCTGTCTCGGGAGTCTACGGGATAGCACCCGCGCCCAAACATCTCCCTAACACACCATCACGGATAAGTATTGAGAAAACAGAAGAGTTTAGCGTATGCGGAATATTTTGGAAGCACTTATCTGAAGGTAGAATGCTCTTGGAACCGGGCCAAGGAAGTTGATGGATTCTTACTCCTCTAGTTGAAATTTGCATTTTATACTTCAATCCCTGCTTAACGTGCATTAAGAACTGAACACGACGAGATCGGGATTTCAAGGATTAAAGGTAGGACGTGTTTTGGGAGCTTCCTGGAATACGTTGTATGGGGCAAGTAACTGTTCTATCTAGCGTGTTGTAGTTATGTGCATAAATGTTGCTACGATACATGTCAGGTAGTCAGGCGGTTCTGATTTCATACGGAACACAGCGAGGATGTTGTTGTATCGTGTGCTTTTTATTGCGTGTAAGAAGTCCTGACAGGATTAACCTCTCCGTAATTCATTCAACGTTTAAAATACCTGTAAAGCCTACATTGATAAATATAACATATGCATTCCGTTACCTGAATCTAGTTGTTTACGTTTAAAAATTGCCATATCTAAAGTCTGGTCATTATTTGTTACCGTAAATTCCCCATTACTTTATGCACGCGTAATGGTAAATGGCTCTCTACAATTCAGTGTGTGAAATTGAATAGTATTTATTTGGTTTAGTTCCTTTTCTGCTCATTTTATCATTAGTTTAGTATACTTTTCTTCCTAACGAACATTATTGTCATAGTTTATAATTTGGTTTCGTTATTTTGAACATGTGTACTTAGTATGTGACTTCGCTTCCATTCATATATGATCCAATCAGAATGCCTTGAAAATATTTGCAAAACGTTTGTCTAATAACTCACGAAAACTTTCTTAAATCTGTGTGTATGCTTCCGATTTCCTACTGTTATATCATACACGGTTTAAATAATTATACAACACTATCCTTTTAATTGACATATTCAGTTCTTAAGTGTATGTTATCAAGAAAATTAATTCAGTTTACCTCGAATCATACAAATATCCATTAAAAGTATTTTTATGTCAAGGACCGATAATATGAAACGAACAAACGAAGATTGACAAGAGAAAATTGATAATTTTCCAAAACAAAACAGGTAATGTGGCTAATTTACGTGCAGTGGGAAGGGGTAAAAGAGGAAATACTTAGCACCACCTGTATTTAATTACCACCTTTGGCCGAGGAGGAATAATTATCCCCAGTCCCCCTGACCCCGCTCATGAAGTGGCTGTTACGTGCCGTCAGGGCTCACAGGTATATGGGGAGATACTTTCTATATTCTTGCTAGGAGGATCATTAGATGTTAAGATTATAGTCCTGGGGTCTTCAGCGGCGGGGGACACCTGTTATATATTACTTTAAGCGGCGGTGGGTTAGCCTAGTGGTTAAAGCGTTTGCTCGTCACGCCGAAGATCCGGGTTCGATTCCGCACATGGGTGCAATGTGTGAAGCCCATTTGTGGTGTCCCCCGCTTTGATGTTGCCGAAATATTGATAAAAGCGGCGTAAAACGTAAACTCACTCACTCACTATTACTTTGATATAAAGCTTATTTTTTCAACCAACAATTCAATGGTTGGATATAAGCTCTATCAATATGTTACTACTCACTATTTGTGAGCATTGTTCGGAGTGCTCCTGTGTGAAGCCCATTGCTGGAATATTGTGCTCTTGCAAGTCCAATGACCTCCAGTGACATTTTCTGCTCTAATGGATGTTGTGTTTTGTATGTGAAATTAGTATGTCATTTAAAGCTTGGTAGTAACCTTGGTACATTCGTGTGTGTGATCTTATATTTTACTGTAATTTCCTTATTTCTTTATCTAATATATTGCTAAAACTATATATCTTACTCACTCACCGATGGCGACCCACGTTTTGTTTTGTATTGCAAGTGACTTCTGGTCGTAATGGGTATACTTTTTCTTAAATTAATTAATACGTTTTGATCTTTCTGTTTCATTCAATCTGAGTTTTTCACTAACCGAGATTCGCTACCATGTATGGAGCAAGCTGTTTTAGCCGGAATGACGCCACGTCTATTTTAATGGCATGTTAGCGAGCATTAATTACCCCGAGAAATACAATTATAGTATCCCAGTGTGAGTCTGTATAATTCACATGGCAACATAACAAAATGAAATCTCCATGCTAGCAAGGCATCATAACACTAGGTAAATGTAAAACATCAGTGCAAAAGAATTGCCATATCTAAAGTCTGGTCATTATTTGTTACTGTAAATTCCCCATTACTTTATGCACGCGTAATGGTAAATGGCTCTCTACAATTCAGTGTGTGAAATTGAATAGTATTTATTTGGTTTAGTTCCTTTTCTGCTCATTTTATCATTAGTTTAGTATACTTTTCTTCCTAACGAACATTATTGTCATAGTTTATAATTTGGTTTCGTTATTTTGAACATGTGTACTTAGTATGTGACTTCGCTTCCATTCATATATGATCCAATCAGAATGCCTTGAAAATATTTGCAAAACGTTTGTCTAATAACTCACGAAAACTTTCTTAAATCTGTGTGTATGCTTCCGATTTCCTACTGTTATATCATACACGGTTTAAATAATTATACAACACTATCCTTTTAATTGACATATTCAGTTCTTAAGTGTATGTTATCAAGAAAATTAATTCAGTTTACCTCGAATCATTCAAATATACCTTAAAAAGTATTTCATGTCAAGGACCGATAATATGAAACGAACAAACGAAGATTGACAAGAGAAAATTGATAATTTTCCAAAACAAAACAGGTAATGTGGCCAATTTACCTGCAGTGGGAAGGGGTAAAAGAGGAAATACTTAGCACCACCTGTATTTAATTACCACCTTTGGCCGAGGAGGAATAATTATCCCCCAGTCCCCCCTGACCCCGCTCGCGAAGTGGCTGTTACGTGCCGTCAGGGCTCACAGGTATATGGGGAGATACTTTCTATATTCTTGCTAGGAGGATCATTAGATGTTAAGATTATAGTCCTGGGGTCTTCAGCGGCGGGGGACACCTGTTATATATTACTTTAAGCGGCGGTGGGTTAGCCTAGTGGTTAAAGCGTTTGCTCGTCACGCCGAAGATCCGGGTTCGATTCCGCACATGGGTGCAATGTGTGAAGCCCATTTGTGGTGTCCCCCGCTTTGATGTTGCCGAAATATTGATAAAAGCGGCGTAAAACGTAAACTCACTCACTCACTATTACTTTGATATAAAGCTTATTTTTTCAACCAACAATTCAATGGTTGGATATAAGCTCTATCAATATGTTACTACTCACTATTTGTGAGCATTGTTCGGAGTGCTCCTGTGTGAAGCCCATTGCTGGAATATTGTGCTCTTGCAAGTCCAATGACCTCCAGTGACATTTTCTGCTCTAATGGATGTTGTGTTTTGTATGTGAAATTAGTATGTCATTTAAGCTTGGTAGTAACCTTGGTACATTCGTGTGTGTGATCTTATATTTTACTGTAATTTCCTTATTTCTTTATCTAATATATTGCTAAAACTATATATCTTACTCACTCACTGATGGCGACCCACGTTTTGTTTTGTATTGCAAGTGACTTCTGGTCGTAATGGGTATACTTTTTCTTAAATTAATTAATACGTTTTGATCTTTCTGTTTCATTCAATCTGAGTTTTTCACTAACCGAGATTCGCTACCATGTATGGAGCAAGCTGTTTTAGCCGGAATGACGCCACGTCTATTTTAATGGCATGTTAGCGAGCATTAATTACCCCGAGAAATACAATTATAGTATCCCAGTGTGAGTCTGTATAATTCACATGGCAACATAACAAAATGAAATCTCCATGCTAGCAAGGCATCATAACACTAGGTAAATGTAAAACATCAGTGCAAAAGAATAGCCAGTGTTGACAATCCCCCCAAACCGATTTCTTTTGGTGTAAAGGGCAAAATAGATGTGTAAATGATGTAAATGGACCACTGAAAATCATTTGGGAAAAGGATAAATATATGGCACACCCTGGAACACACTCAGCAAAGATGACACTTCGAACCCTTCAAAATATCTGACATTACCTTATGGTCAGCATGACTGTATGAAAAACGTTGTCCAAGCGCTAGAAACTAACAGCAACATGATAGTAGCATGGTATACATATAGCCCATCGGTAACGGCTTGTCAGCAGGAAATAGCCTTTACCACAGGATTGTACTATGAAATCTAGTCAACAACACGACCTAAAGCGAACATTTTTATCATAATAAGATGGCAAACGGTCAGGCGGATTGACAGTGCATTGGGAACATGACAGATTGACAACGGCATGATATATTGACGGTATATTTATACCATGTCAGATTGACAATAGCATGACATATTGACAGAACATTGGCAACATGGCAATTAACAACAGCATGAAAGATTGATAGGACATTTCGAGAATGGCAGATTGACAAAAGCATGACAGATTGACAGTACATTGGTGAAATGGCAGATTGACAACAGCATGACAGATTGACAGGACATTGATATCATGGCAAATTGACAAGAGCATGACAGATTGACGGGACATTTATAGAATGGCAGATTGACAAAAGCATGACAGGTTGACAGTACATTGATGAAATGGCAGATTGACAAGAGCATGACAGATTCACAGTATACTGGCAACATGGAAGATTGACAGCATATTTATAACATGGTAGATAGACATCAACATGACAGATTGACATCAACATGACAGATTGACAACAACATGACAGATTGACAGTACATTCACAGCATGACAGATTGAAAGCGGTATGACATATTGACAGTACATTTGTAACACGGCAGATTGACAACAACATGGCAGATTCACATTATACTGGCAACATGGAAGATTGACAGTATATTTGTAACATGGCAGATAGACATCAACATGACAGATAGACATCAACGTGACAGATTGACAACAACATGACAGATTGACAGTACATTTATAACATGGCAGATTGGCAACAGCATGGCAGATTGACAGGACATTGGCAACATGGCAATTGACAACAGCATGACATATTGACAGTACATTTATAGGATGGCAGATTGACAACAACATGACCTATTCACAGTACATTTGTAAAATTGCAGAATGACAACAGCATGACATATAGACAGTGTACTGGAATACGTGGTATACAATCGGTAACGGCTATACATATACATGTATGTATAAATGTCAAGGAATTATGCTAAATCAGTGTTGATATCGTTTTCCATTTCCATATTAAATATATTCGCATGTTTAATTCATAGGCCATGCTATTGAGGAGCTAAAGTGCCCTGTGATTTTATCTTAATCGAAAATACATTCCACTGAAATAGTAATAAAGGATAACTTCGATCCTTTTTCAAATAGTTAAAAAATGCATGTGAGACCTTTATCATTTTTTGTAAACGTTGAATTCAAGTTATTTTTGACTGCATAACAAATTCAAAATGTTTATGAGACGGTACTTAAATTATCTATGAATTTAAGCTACACAGTAACTGAATAACATGGTATACGTCCTTGGAGACGTTAACCCCCAAAAACATAACAAAGGCATTTTCTATGAGCAATTATATGAAATTTTCATGAGCGTTACCAACTGAGAAAATAAATATTTGAATAGGATGAAAACGTGGTTTCAAATTGCCTCCATGGTTGTAATTACATTACAGAAAACACTTACATAATAAACCTTACAGAGACCATCACTGTGCTGCCTGTAACCTGCCTCTTGAGAACCATATGGCCGACAGACCTTCTTTACTTTTTGTTAAAGAGGCGCTGTTGTTGCGTGTGATGAAAGCTGGTAAGGACCCTTATGCCTTCCAGGTGTGTAACGCACACACATTGCTTTCTCCAACACTACACAATGTGTACAAACACACACCAGTTGAGGTATCTCAGGAATCCCCATCTCCCAATGTGTAGTCTAACCCATCTTTATCAGAGGACCCTACAGTGGCGTGTATGGTATACACGGAAGTATCCTCCTATCCCATGGACGGGATAATGTGATGAATGTACTGTTGCATATATACTGAAACAATGTTAGGACGCAACATCCTGATTTCTTTAAATGTCGATGCATTTGTCTAGGGCTTGCTTTAGCTGTTGCAAAACGGGGTTGTGGTTTCGTTGTGTTAAAAATTACTTTTATTTTGGGCAGTTGCATCGGGAGTTTACGTAATATTTTGGAACCTTTCCATCATAATAACTGTAATTGTCATTTGAATCATGTCCTCAAACTATTTCGTATATTTGTCCGAAATCAGTGAAATCATGATTAGAAGCAAACACGAACAACCGGAAAAAAGCAAGTAATTGATGTTACGTGTCTGTAGCGTCTCGGAGTAGCGTTACAAATTAGCCCCTTAAATGTACACACACATGCCGTTATTTCTCAGTATATTCATTCTGAACCTATGATCATAATGTGGTATCTTACAGCCTTACGTACCCGTGAAGGTCCGGGTTAAAAGGAGCCTTCAGTAACCCATGCTTGTCGTAAGAGGCGACTAACGGGATCGGGTGGTGGTCAGGCTCGCTGGCTTGGTTGACACATGTCATCGGTTCCCAATTGCGCAGATCGATGCTTATACTGTTGATCACTGCATTGTCTGGTCCAGACTCGATTATTTACAGACCGCCGCCATATATCTGGAATATTGCTGAGTGCGGCGTAAAACTAACCTCACTCACTCACTCACTCTTACTATATATCAAAAGGGTAAAAAGTGAAATGGACTTGAAAAAACGAATAGATGGTGAGAACTAAACTCACTCACTCACTCACTCACTCGCTACAGTCTTACGGATACTAGAATTGTTTTCCGAATCTGTAACTTACATTATTCTAAAGAATTGTAAATTGATAATTTGTTCGATTCATATAATTTTCACCATATAATTTTCATCATATATTTTTCACCAATGCAGCGCCTTTCAGGTCAAAAGGAATCAGATTCTAGAGACAAGGGGACTGATTGTTCTCTGTCGTCGAGCATTAATATATTATTCCGCGTTTATCTCACGACATACAGAACCTGTCGATGCAGTTAGCTATTAAACATTCATACTCCGCCGGCGTATGACATTTCAAAAAGAATTTTACTGTAAAATAAAATGTCACTGGTAACACTATACGCGGACCTTTCCCTTTAGTCATAATGAATACGTAGATTTGCTGCCGTCTGAACATTGGTGGTGTCGAGTTGTCCAGTGAGAGAAGCGATATGAAGACAAGGGTTGGTTTGTATCGAAGACATCTATGTAAGCATTTTGTAGATGTCTAAGATGTGTATGTCTAAGATCATGAATGTCGACTGCATGTAATGTACGTGCTTCTGTGTGTATGCTCATGTAGTCAACGCGGGTTCATTGTCATGTATGGTTATATGAATAATTCACAGACAATCACTGTTTTCTTGATATTAATTATGTCGTATATTTCAGATTGTACTCAAAACCTTTGTGATATGAAAATATCACTGGGAACAGGAATACCTTGAAGAACGACATACGAATAATATTCCATTTATCTGTGAATAAGTGCATATTCAGTATATGGATACCAGGGATACAAGCTTCATATTTGACGTTGACCTTCGGATTCGTCCTTGAGCGGAAACTCGAATCAAAGCTGGCGACCATTGTGCAACGACATTATAAGTCGGACGGTCACGTGACATCTCCTGACATCCAAATCGTCCGTGTATGTACGGCGTTGTACTTAGTAAGCACAGTCATGGCAAGTGTGGCCTATAACTTTATGACAGTGGATTCAAACGCCCACCACCGTCGTTACAGCAACTCCGGCCATGATACCGGCGTGAGCGTTGACGTTTTAAGCGAGACGTCATCAATACCAAGATCTGCCAAGAAACGAACTCGTAAGAAGTCTTCTGCTTCTGTTGTTCAAACCAACCACAAGAAGGTAAGCAAGATCTGCATGGAAATAATATATGGTTTTTTCCTTTAACAGCTGTATATTTCATACATTTGCAGCTTCCACGCAACGTCATCGACGTCATATCAGGAGCAAGTGTACGACGTTTGAAAGCTTCTGACTAGGACATACTGATAAACTACAAGCACTGTATTAATTATAGAGCTGGATTTGTATAATACTTGGTTATCAAGGCTGCATGTAAATGTAGGTTTACATAGTTTTTGGATATGCAAAGCTTTGATCATCAGTTGGGTACAACAATAATTATAATGCCTTCTATTGCAGTTATGAAATAGTTTAAAATATATGTTATGAACGACTTTCTGACCATTAGAAGAACAACGACCAAGGACCATACACATTAAGACCAATATCATGTCCTAAGTTCAACGAAATCTACGAAAGCATCGTTCAGGTTTAAGTAGCAGGACTATTGGTACGTTAAACTGTGATGTGGCTTCTTGTAAATATATATGTTTAATGTCAGATGCAATATTAACGTAGAAAGTGCAGTGAAACGGCTTTGAAGGACCAGAAGGTTTAGTAACGGCTTTCTGTGGCCAACATTCAACATTTACCCACGTGTGCTCTAATATTCTATGTCCTAGTTTCTCACAGTATTCGTCCCCGTTGTGTCATGTGTACAACTACACTTTCAATGCCCCAGTATTCTTCAGTATGCATCTTTCACCCTAATCTGTCATCTGTACAACTACACCTTTTAAAAGATGTCTTTTACCCCTATGTGTCCTCCTATATGTACATCTCGAACGACTCGTTATTCTCCTGTATGCATCTTTTGATCACATGTCTCATGTTTTGTCTTCGTATCTGAAAATACCGAGAAAAGCAGTCTATTAAATATCTCGTTTTCTTAGAAATATATATACATATTGAATAGAAAAAAACTTTCCTTTTAGTCGATTTCATGGATTACAGTCTACGAGTCTTGCACATTTAGTAAAAACTAGAATAACTAACAACGCCGGTAAGTGACGGTCATACAGATGCCCTCCTGTGACCCACTGAATCGATAGATATGATTGACAAATAGGACGTTGTTAGACCTGACAGGACAGGACGGAACTGTATAACACGGAACCGGTTCCTCGGGAAGCTGTTCTCTTTTATATTTAACTGTATCAATTTCTCACGTTTTTTCTGTCTTTTATACTATATGTTATATCTGTTGAAGAGAGTGACACGAGTGAATCAATGGTCTAAATAGCCGCAGATCACTGTGCACAGTTGCGTCCCTTTGGGCGTGCTAGGATCCTTGGTCGTATGTTTGAAAACTGCAATGATATGATCTTTGGTTTACTCCAACCACGTGATCATGGTGTCCCCAAACAATAACTTGACGCGCCATGGTATAACTGAAATATTGTTCAAAGCGGCAGTAAACATTACTCACTCTGTGAGACCGTTTGAAATTTACTCAATCAAGGAAGAACTGTACAGATTTCTTAAAGTTAAGAGTACCACATTGTATTCCTAACATGTATAGAGTTTTGATCCTTTACCTTCTTAGGTTCAGTCAACAGAATTCATATTAAGAACTAAAGCAATAATGACCTTGAGTCACCCTTGGCAGCAATAAACATTTTTCTCCACCCGTTCAAATATTTTTAACGGTTGGTCAATCGTCTACGGGACATAAAGTTGCCTTCCTTAGACGTCTAAGGATCCTCTCCTAGGGATCGAATCTCAGATTCAACCTGATGATGATCCTTTGTTTATCAGTATGAAAGACGTGCACGTGGGTTTTACCAAAGTTATTAATGTCTACGACTGCGATAACTTTGCTCTTATCTGACGTGTCGTGATATAACTGAAATATCGTTTACAGCGGCATTAAACCAAACTCACTCACTCACTCTCTTGTATATATATTAACCCTGTCCTTTGAATAATTTCAGTTCTACGGTTTCTGCAGTTGTTGCGAAAATCGTCCCCTCACATGTTGTGTCAAGGTGTGTCACTAGTGATATTCCTTTTGATATAAATTATATTTATGTTCAGTAGCGTCCCTTGCCTGTGTCAGGATCCGCTAGTCGTGGGTTCGATTCTACCTGATTTCGACCCCTGGTCTGTTAGGACAATACCTGTAGTCGGGGGTTAACCAATATTGCAATCTTCTAATTCCAGATAAGACTCCGTGATAATATAGAATAATATGTTGTTCAAAATAGCGTTAAACCCCGACTCACTCACTCGCTCACGGACATCTCAACCTGAGTCATCTGTCATATGTTTTATGCAACGAGAGACATACAGTATTAGTTTATGCTGGATTATTGTACGCTACACCTATGATATGTTATTAGTTTCCTGGAATATGGTAACTCTAAGAATAACCAAGCTTCGTGTGTTGAGGTAAAGAGAAAAGTTATCTTGCACTGAGGATGATATGAAAAATGATTAGGTGCACGCTGCTGCTATTTTTGTTCTCGAGCATTAAAACATACAATGCTCGTGTTTCACCTCAGAAAAATGCGTGTCATGTTTACACTGTTTTTACATGGAGGCTCTACCTGTTAGAATCCAAATGACACGATTCTGCATTGCACTGAAAACGAATTTGGTTCTGAATTAATGTTACAGAATTAATCATAGCATAATATAACACGCCACGCCACGCCACGCCACGCCACGCCACGCCACGCCACGCCACGCCACGCCACGCCACGCCACGCCATGCTAGTATCGTACCATACGGTCATGTATCATATTCGTATCGTTTTCTATTGTATTGCATCGTTTAGTGCCATATGCATCGTATCGCATTGCATCGGATTCAAACAGATAGTGATTGATAAAGCAAACATTATATTTTCATATGACGGAATATTTAAAACTCATATACATATTGAACAGTACCTGTTTAATGTAATTATAAAGAAATGACGTGATTTAATTGTAAGATTTCGATATTCATCCCATTATCTCTGCATTGAGAGTGGGTGATATACAAAACCTCCAAGATCAGAACTATTATGTAACATGTGTAACAATCAAGCTATCGATGATATCACTATAAACTTGTATGTCCATCTTACTCCATAATCATGTATTCCTACATACTACTTTTGATGATACAAATATTGAGAAATTCCCGCATCTGTAAAACAGCTACGATAAATGAACAACACACAACATGTGCATGTATATACAACACGCGTTGATGTAAACAACCCAATTCGTAAACAATAGTTGAAAGTACGTTCCACCTCCCCACATGTATGATAGGTCTGTGGCCTGATTGGGATTGCTAATGCGTGAAAACGTATTACCCAATTGTATGACCTGACCCCAGCTCGCCACAAGCCCAGGCTACACGTACACACAGAGATGATGCTATACATAGAGGATGAGGTTGTACCACAACTCACGTATGAAGGCCAGTTCAAGGTACATGTAGCTTCCTAGTCTGTCTCAGAGTCCCTGAACCATACTATTTTCCCTACTGCCTACAGCCTAGCCCTCCCTGCAATGCTAAAGCCCTAATTGAAGTAAGTCTAGATTTCCCAGGTTCAGAATCTCCAAACTCACTGATGCTCCTTTTCAATTTCAATTTGTTACAATCAAGATTATATATATGCAGGGACTAAGCGTTTGTCTAGAAGTTACCTAGCGCTAAAAATACAAGCCACGAAAACGCCAATGAAATAAGCCTGGCTTTTTTGTGGTAAGTTCCCAAGCGTTCTTTCGTATAAAAATAATATTCATGCCATTGATCAAACCATTTATTTATTTAAGGCAGCAAACATTGACATGCATTTGAAAGTCAAATTGGATTGACTTCATCGAAGGCAACACAAATTAACAAGCATTGAAAATTTCAATTGGCCTCACTTCATCGATTACAATACAAACTGACATGCTTTAAGACTTCAAATTGGTCTGACGTCAGGGTTTACGACACAAATTGACAAGCATTCAAAATTCAAATTGGTCTGTGTTCATTGATGGGAACACTAAACATGACATGAATGCAAACTACAAGTTGGACGTGTTCAAGGAATTACTCCAGTCCTCGTTTCCAATTTGGCCCATTCTTTTCTGTTTATTCTATGAATGTTTGACACGATTTGGCAGCGTTACATTCATTTCTCAAAGGTGTTCTTAGAAGCCAAGTTAATTGATAAGTGGGTCTGTTTATATTTAGCCTAGATGTGTACGCCTTCACAGAAACGGCAATGGGTGCCGACTAGCCGTTCACCTATAAACTCCGGTACCACGGGGGAATTCGTGCCTGCATCCGCGCGTCTGTGCAACGAGGCGTGCGGCTGATCTATCACACATGTAGGGAAGTTGATGGTAGAGAAGGCCTATATAAAATATATGCAAAAGATACCATCAGTAAAAAGTATGCATCTAAAGCTGATTATACCTATAAACAGCTGAAACGACAGTATGTTTATTTGTCTGTGTAAAAAACAATATTGAGGAGTTATAATTTTTGTATGTACGGTGTACCTTGGTAACACTCACGCTGTCAATTCTAGTGAGCAGGAAGTAAGTTCACTTTTGATACTCTTTTCATGTAATAATCTTTTTAAAATATTGTTATAATGTATATGTTTGATAAGATGTCTTACTTATGCCATGAGCATTCCTCAGAATTAGAAAACGAATTTAAAGAAGTTCGCTAGTTTTACCGAGGGCAGAGTTCGTCCATATACTGAGGCGGTGCAGGGTACATCAGACTTTGTAACCTTACAGTGAGATGATAACCACGAGCATCTGATCAGGGAAAACACTTACTGACATTAAACTGTGCTTAAGATAAAACGGACCCTTGTAAAAGTGGTGTAAAATTAGGCGGAACTGACGGCTGAGCGTGATAGGAATATATCTGGTAGTGGAAGGAGCCAAGTCACTGATTTGACGTAAACAGGAAACGCGTGTATTCTGCGCAATCGCATTATCGTACACATAGTTATTCTGTATTTGTTTCTTTAATATTATACAGGCAGGTTTAATTCTGTGATCCATGGGGAGTACAGTATAGATTTGGACGTCCTCAGTCCGTACATCGTGCTTATTTATTAGCCTTAGACCATGGCTGTTTTGAAAGGGTTAGTGAAGGGATCACAAGCGCTACGGGCACCTTCCATTGCCCAGAAAGCTATATTTACATCATCTATTTCTGGTTCAATGCACTGTATGGTACTTGCCCTGTGTAAAAAGCTTTTTTCGAACTGTGAGCTAGTTCGCCTGTAAAATAACTCACTGGTTCCTATTTCTAACAAGTAACCCATGTTGCAAATATTTCCAATAATTGTTAATTGCACTGCTTTTCATGAGTTGATTAATGGAGAAGGGATGGTCATCCTGATTGAGTATATGAAGAAATAGATGATGGTCATCGAATGACATCGTGACTGAGTATATGAACGTAATTTGTGTTGGTGACCAATAGATGACCAATTTACAATGGGGAAGGGATGGTCATCGTGACTGAGTACATGAACATGATTTGTGTTGGTGACCAATAGATGACCAACTGACAATGGGGAAGGGATGGTCATCGTGACTGAGTATATGAACGTAATTTGTGTTGGTGACCAATAGATGACCAACTGACAATGGGGAAGGGATGGTCATCGTGACTGAGTATATGAACGTAATTTGTGTTGGTGACCAATAGATGACCAATTTACAATGGGGAAAGGATGGTCATCGTGACTGAGTACATGATGATGAACATGATTTGTGTTGGTGACCAATAGATGACCAACTGACAATGGGGAACGGATGGTCATCGTGACTGAGTATGTGAACGTAATTTGTGTTGGTGACCAATAGATGACTAACTGAGCGTTATGACCAGACTGTCCTCGTACGGCCAAAGAATATCGCCGACGCTTTCAACACGCATTGACGACTTATGCATGTTGCTTAGGGTCCATAGTTTGTAGTCAGTGGTTATAATACTGACTGGGGTGAACATGTGCTGCTTCCTCTGTATGTTCTCAGCGTGTAAGAGATTGCACTGACGTCCATCATTGACGCCAGCAGTCGTAGCTGTGCAGCACATGTATGTACAAAGCGAGCGTCTGAATATATGAAATATTATATCTATGTACATACTCAGGTTGTGGAACATTGCATTCACAGACACAGGATTGCGTCTCAACACACATGTACAGAATACGAACCTAACAAATCTCTTAACATAATCCTATATTATGCTTGTACTGTTATTTCTAGACTGTAAATCACTCGTAAACGTATAATGTGTAGGGTAATTTCATGTTGAGAAATGATGCAGAAAACAGAAATCTAACGGTTCTTCTGTCTTTGTCCGTTATTGCTTTGTTGTTACATAGCTGTTCCCAGGACAAACCACTCATCACCCATTCTCATCTATTTTAACCATGTTTTGTTTTTATGTGTGCCAGTTGAAACAGATTTACTGTTTATGCATTTCGATTTGTAATGAAAACTCTTTAGATTCAATCTAAGAACTATAAATCTGTATTTGTAAAAATGAAAATACTTGCATTAATGATGAAAACATATCATCTTATTTAACGCGGTACATATCTACAACTGACTTACTTAAGTAGTAACGAATCAAAGGAAATAAAATTGGTTTTGTTCTATTTACCATTACGTACTTCAGTGAACGGAATGTTCGTGGTATCGTTTATTTAACATCTTTAAGTTCAACTCATGAACGAATCTCTCAGTGTTGATCAATACTCTCAGAAAGTGAGTCATGATGACTCAAAGTTTTCCATGTAAAGTCGGACACAGAAATAGAACAGGCTGACATTGAACATGCTGACATTGCGAACTGCTTCAAAGGAGTGAGTGAGTGAGTATGGTGTTACGCCACTTTTTGCAATAGTCCAGCAATTTCGCGGCGGGGACACCAGAAAGATTCAAGGGAAGACTGTGGCATGTTTAATGTTCATGTCAATGGGTCGCATTGTTTCTTACATAAAAAGAAATAAACTACATG